TACACTTTTATCTTATTCAAGCTAACAGATAAAAAGCAACTACTTTCTTTTCCTTAATATACACACATTACAAAATTGTTTTGTATTTGTTGATTTTAATATATATTTTATCGTTGAAACAAAAATCGTTTCCTCATTGTTTTTCCTTGATTCAATAATGTATAAATGTTAAATGCTCTTCAACACGCAGCCATGTTAATCTCTTCAACATAATATACAAGCAGCATTTAAAATATAAAGAACAGAGGAACATAATGCGGCAAACCATTCTAAATATATTTTTCATAAAAAAAATCACATTAATAAACATTAATTCGTAGTATTTTTACTGTATCTCCTTTTCTGTGCCTATACTTTAATTAAAAAGTACACTAATTAGAAATTAAATGTGAATGAATAAAATTTGAGATACAAATTACATCATTTCCTGTAAGTTATTATATTCGATTAATGCGTTTTTGATTAGTGCGTATTTTTAATGAACTCATTAGCCGTAATAATCGAGGGCTTACTGTATATATCGAACATAATATTAAGGGAGGTAATAATTACATGAAGAGTTCCATTTAAGGGAAGTAATGTATATGACAATTCATAAAACTGTAAAATTTGACGAAAACTCTCCAAATTAAAAGATACACACAATATATTGAAAACATGAGTGAAAATAATGATTCTAAAGCATGTTTCTAATAAAATAACCTATTCAGTATACAATGCATTCATTAATGAATAAGAAACATTTTGTTTGAATCGGAGAATTCCTTGATTTTTGGCAGATATTTTAAAACATTGGGTAGCGATATTTTTTGTTTTGATTTCGGTAAAAAGGCATCTACTTTTCTGGTATCTAGTTAATTTAAAGGAAACCAGTTTTCAACAAATGGGTTGTCAGTTGAAGAATAGAAAAAGGAAGAGGATTATCCTTCGAGAAGGATATTCAATATAAAGTGTGGCAAAATGTGTTGGTTATTCTCTTCTTGGAGAATTGAGGAAGGGTGTAAAAAAAAACAAACAAACAAAAAACTGCGGGATCGATTGCTGAATTTTGCTCAAAAATTTACATAACACTTTCATCTGGTTTATTTCAAGTGTCATTTTTTCCTCGATGAATAGGTGTGGGGGGAGATCGTTACTTTCTGCTCCGATTTTGCTGCTTAAAACACACAGTTGCGTCATGAGTTCAAACCCAGATATTTCTAGGTACTAATTAAATTTATTGTAAATAAATGGTTTTCATTTCGCCAAGAAACCACTTCTTCTACGTGTTCTGTCCCGTCAGGACGTAGGCAGTTATGCTCCTCACAATTTTTTGTCCTTCGTAACCTTATTAAATGTTATCTTTTTGCTATCTCTCCTTATCCCTGCTCAGCCAATCATTTACAGAACAGGGATTAACCCAAGGACATTTTTTTTATATGCTAGTAAAATCCAAATAGTGTGATTGGCAGTCTGTGCCTTTCATAACAACTTATCTTAATTCCTATACCATATAGAGATTCATTTATTTGTAAACACCGTAACATTCCTGCTGAACCATTTGTAATTTAGCATTTTTAGTAAATTACAACAGTCATTCTCATTTCATTTGGCCGACGCTGACTTGTAAAATCCACACATGTAACTCTGTCATGTTTCCCTCAAACACTTGTAATTTATCAGTTAGACTAAATTATAATTCCAGTAATTCTCATTCCAACAGGTCACAAGGTATACATCTACTAACTTGTAAAATCCACATCTGTAATCATGTCACATTATGCCCTCAACCGTTTGTAAATGACCAAATAGTGTAAATTGTGACCATTCCAACCGACCACCACGTATGAAATTCACTTGTAAAATCACCTTTGATAAACTCTTTTAAAAGCGAGCGTTGCAGTAAAAATATTGAGGATAAAAGAAAACAAAAACCATTCGTAATTTAATAATAAAATGTCTTATCGAAGAATTTTGAACAATTATTACGTCATCTGTTCGGTGGTGTAAACAAACAATATAACAGAAAAAAATCAGGGAAAATGAGGAAGAATGTAGCCATGTTATTAAATTTGAATGTCATTTGCTGTTAGACGGATTAAAAAAATGTCTAAAATATCATCTATATACAACCATTCTCTTAGTAAAATTGGTCCAAACGAATGAATCCTTTGGAAGAATTTTGGAAGAAGGCGGTAGTTTATTTGATCTTACAGCCTGCACTACAGTATCATAAACAAAGAGCTTTACAGAATAACAAAACCAAAATCTAAAATTGGTAGCACATTTAACGAGAAGAGTGCACACACACATATATATATAGTCATCGACAAACAGATGGTTTCGGTGTATCACAGCTCATCAGTGTGGCTAGACATCCGATTGCAACATTCACCTACCTTACAGAAAACCTAATACTAATCCCCTGTATGTACATCCTAAGTCAAACCACCCTTCATCTATAATTAAGCATATACCCACATCAATAGAGAAAAGAATAAGTATGAACTTAGCAAATAAGGAAATATTCCAACAACACAGTAGTTTTTACAACACAGCCCTGAAAAATAGCGGATACAAAAACGCTGACAACCTATAGAAACGATAGTACCAATAATAAGAAAAACAGGAAAAGAAAGATCATCTGGTATACACCCCCCCGTACAACCAAATGGTCAGCACCAAACTAGGCCATAAGTTCCTAGCTTTAATTGAAAAGCACTTTCCCACTAATAGCAAACTTAGCGACATCTTTAACAAAAACATCTTGAAATTGAGTTACAGCTGCACTGAAAATATAGAAAGAATCATAAAAAGACATAATAAGAAAATCCTAGAAAAACACGCAAACCAAAACAGTAATAAAACACATAAACTAAAATTGGATAAAAATAACGAAAAATTATGTGATTGTAGAAACCCTAAAAACTGCCCTTTGGAAAATAAATGCTTCACAAAATCTGTGGTATACCAGTGCACTATCTCATCCATTGAGAGTCCTAACACTGATAGGATATACATAGGCTCAACAAAGAATAATTTTAAAATTAGATGGAGGCAACACAAGAGCTCCTTCAACAATATTCAAAATAGAAAACAGACATCTCTATCCCAATATTTCTGGCATCTAAAAGAAACGAATAAAACACCAAAAGTAAAATGGAAAATAATAAATAAAACAAGAACCTGTAAAACCTGGGATGACCCATGACCTTTATGCTTACAGGAAAAACTACACATCATTAAATTTCTAAATAATGAAAAATTATTAAACCATAGGCAGGAGTTAATGGTTTTTTGCAGACATCAACAAACTTTCGCATTAAATAATTAGCATATAAAAAAAAATCCCATAGCTAAGTAAAATTCTTAAAAGCAAAGCCAAATCATTAAATAGGAAAAACCCTTTTTGCAGTCGTCAAAAAACAAAAAAACAAATTGAAATTCAGTGCAATGCGATCTGTATATAAAACACCCACTTGAATAAACAAATAAATAAATAGATAATCAGATGGACAATACTAAAAGACAATTCCCCAGACACATGACGACTTGTAGGCGCGCCATAAAAATATCCCTCACTGGGAACTAACTAAAGGGTGACCGCAAACATTAGCCTTGAAATAGATACCCTACTCAACCTTACCAAAACCTCTTAGAAGATGATGAATCTATTGATAAGAATCAACTCTCTGACCACTTAACGAAGGAAAATAGTCTAGCCACTCCCACAACAACGAATTCCAAAATGACCGGGCCTAAAAATACACGTAAACCAACAAATAGCTTATTCCTAAAATTTCGCTTGAAGATGAAACGGGACTAAACACCACAATCCAACTTAATTTTAATAATTATTTGGATATTTCGGCTCTCGTTTTTGAAACATGAGAACTCTTATGTAGCGAAGGAATCATATTTTTAAACAAAAAATATTAGCTCTACTTCTGTATGGAGCACTCTCTTCTTAAAAAGAAAAAAGAAAAAATACTAAGGAACCCCGGATTATGCACCCAACGTGTTCTTTTTTTTCTATTTTCTGCATACCTACCCACTTATACATACACACACACACACACACACATATATATATATATATATATATATATATATATATATATATATGGGTGTACCCATAGAAAGTTGATTTTTGTATTTTTACCAAGACAAGTGTGTAATAGAATTCATTTATTAATACAGGTGTTCATATGTACATTATACAAGTGAAAATGATTTAGCATTTTGTTGGGTAACCATTTGCTTTAATAACGATCTTAATTCTTCGTGGCATGCTATAGACTAAATTGTCAACGTCCTTCGCCAGATTTTTCCAGCATTTTTTTAATTCGCGAAAAAGCTCATCTTCTGTGTTAACTTTCCTATTACGATCACGCTTGTCCATTATCGCCCAAAGGTTTTCAATTGGGTTACGGTCAAGACTCATTTACTAAACGGTAATCGAGCTCAATGTTTTAATGTCATTTTCGAAACAATCAGGCAATTTCACACCAGAGTGGTATATCTCAATACCGAGTGCTTTTGGCGCTTATACTGCAAATTTACCAGTATTTTTGCTATAGATATGTATTTTATAATTTCATAGTGTTATGGCGCCAGTTTATGAGTTCACTATTTGCCCATAGCTGGGACCCTAACGGGTGCTACCACCAAGGTTAAGGTTGGAACTGGTAACAACTTCAATTAAAAGGTGGTTCTACGCTCCTTAAACCCTCCTGATCAGTGGCCTTGCTGCCGGGTATAGTTTTTTTTTATCATATTCAAGACGCAATCAAAGACAAAAGTTTTGGAAGGAAAGTATATCTAGGAAGTATGATAATAGTGGACTTAAGAAGTCTACTTTCTTACGAATTAACCGATCACTGGGGGAGAAGGGGTGGATTCATATCTTTTCCAGGGTTATTTGCGCGTAAGTGACTATAACGAACCCACTGGGAATTGAAACTCGTCTCCCCGACTGAAAATTCCCAGTCATTCTCTATTACACCACCCGCACATCCAAGCTTACAGTACCTGGGATTTCCAAGCGGTTACCCATCTAGGTACTGACCAGGATCGACGTTGCTTAACTTCAGTGATCGTACGGGAACTCGACTCTCTGATTAACAATTTCGAGCCATTATCCATTAAACCACACGCACATCTTAGCTTACAGCACCTGGAATTCCCAAACGGCCACCCATATATGTACTGACCAGGTTCGTCGTCGCTTAACTTCAGTGATCGTACGGGCACCGGTGTTTCAACATGGTGTGGCCGTAAGCGTGCCTGAAGAATAGACAATATTAACAACTACAATACGCGGATAACAAACTTAATGAAGCGGATGAACTTTGTTTTGGTCATCCAAATAAAATGAAAACGTGCTGATGATGTTTTCGGCTAAGCATGATAACTTATCAAATAAAATAGCTTCTTAAACAAAAATTATCTTTTTATTTTTCAGATATTTGGAGAAGAAACGCTTACTTTTCCCGCGGTTTTTCTTTGTGTCTGACCCGGCATTGCTTGAAATCCTCGGCCAGGCCAGCGATTGCCACACGATCCAGGCTCATCTTCTTAGCGTCTTTGACAACATCAAAACTGTCAAATTCCACGAACGGCATTACGAGCTAATCTTGAGTGTTCAGTCCAGTGAGGGTGAAGAAATCAAGGTAACCCCCACCCACCAAAAAAACGTGGAGGCTGGTCAATTTTTTTATTTGGTACACCTATAAATGTCAAAGCCCAGATTCCATTCATCATTTCTTATACAGGGCGTCCCAGAATGAACTATTTCAGTGAAATCGGACAGTCTTTTTAAAAACTCACCTTTGTTTCTGTTCATCATGTTTAATATGTTTTAGAAGTGTATAAGTGTCTAATTTTGTGTCTAATTTTCTTTTCGAATTTTCATTTCATTCATTTCCATGACCCTATTAATAATGAGTACACAAGAACGCATCATCGATGACCCTTGACCCCACGTAGATTTCTTTGCACCGGGTTTCATAAAAAAAGAAAGGTTTATCATCAAAAGATCAGTACTTAGTTGAGTTTAAAGAACGCATATAATTAGCTCTGAAGGAGGAGATAACTCCTGAAATGCTACAAAATGTGCTTCGCAAAGATTTGAAATTTGCAGGTATACAGACGAAACACATGTTGAAAATTTTCAATAGAGTTAAGACTTAATATATATGTATATATAAATAAAAAGAAAGAACATGTGACTCTAATCACAATTGAAAAATATTGAAGTTTTACACTTTCAGAAGCGGGGTGGTGGATCCTATTCATAATATCGATACAGTATCAAGTCGAATCCTGATTTTTACAGAGTTAACTGCATTTAGTTGTTAATATATATATATATATATATATCCGTTTATTCTTTATTTATAAGAAAACTTTTTGTTAGAAAAAATAGAAAAAAGAAGTCTTTTTTTAACAACTAAATGCAGTTAACTCTGTAAAAATCAGGATTCGACTTGATACTGTATCGATATTATGAATAGGATCCACCACCCCGCTTCTGAAAGTGTAAAACTTCAATATTTTTCAATTGTGATTAGAGTCACATGTTAGGGAAGGTTTAATGAATGTTTCCCCTTCAAAGATTTGCATTTTTTTTACGACTTATCACTCTTTACAGTTCATTTATGTAGTACCAAATTAGAATATATATATATATGTATTTCTGGTGATTTACATATTCTAGCTGGACAAACCTGTGAGAGCCGAAGGCAACGTAGAATGTTGGTTGATGGCATTAATGGTGATGTCGCAGAAGTCACTTCACACTGTCATCAGAAATGCTGCAGGACTCATCCAAGATTCCAACTTTCAGCTACTTGATTTCTTGAACACCTTTCCCGCCCAGGTGAGTTCTGATTGCTTATATATATATATATATATATATATATATATATATATATATATAGACAATATATCCATACATACATACATAGATTTTATAACATATTTATGTTATAAATTTTTTAAATAAATAATTATATTTGCTCTACTCTGTATTGAGCACTCTTTTAAGAATAGTAATTGTTGGGTATTTGAATTCATTCCGTATACACCAATTATATACTTGGGTATACATATATATATATATATATATATATATATATATATATATATATATATATATATATACTGGACAGCACTGCGACGCTTTGTATCAGGTTTCGACCAAAAATTTGGGTAGAAGAAAAAAAACATCATCGAATTCGCTACCCCAGATTACACACACACACACACACACACACACACACACACACACACACACACATATATATATATATATATATATTTTTCATTGATGCATGTTTCATTAAATAATATAGACAAGTTTTGTCTATTTATTTTAAGTAAGTTCCTTCCATATTGATACATGTTTAAATCCAATCTAAGCTTTTGGGTTGCATAAGCCATTATCAAAGATGACAATTACATTTCAATATATCAAACAATACACGGACGAAACAATAATGATAGTCTGTTTTTGTTGCATGAAAAATTTCAAAACATCGACTAACTTGATATATATATATATATATATATATATATATATATATAATTTTAATAATCCGTCATGGATCAGAGAACACACTAACACATAATTGATATCATAGGCAAGATTGAAAGAGAAAAATGTGGTTGGATCAGATTGCAAGACGAAAGCATAACAGGTGAAGCAAAAGTTTGACTGACAACTGCACACAAGATATGGCAGAGAATAGGAAGCACAATCATTGTCGTCATGAAAGAAGTTATAGGAAATTATTTTATTCAGCCGTCACAAAAGCTGGTCACATTATATGGGTATCAATATGACAAGGGGGTGCTGAAAATTTCTCGACCCGATATCAAGAAGATATTCTAAATCAAATTCTGACGTCACTGGGGTAAAAGTTTTTCTGTTTTTCTCTTAATCGATAAATAAAGAATCGATCTACTGTAATTATTTTACATTCGAAAGTCAAATTAAGATTTTCGTATGTATAGAAGCATTGTTTCGCGATTACCAGATGATTTAATCTAGAGCATTCCCCGAATTGTCGTTATGAATGTTAATGTAACCACTGACAATGACCAACGGTTTTAGATAAGTAGTGGTCGCTGATATTCATAAATTTATATCCGTTGGGACATCAAGGAACAGTGAAACGAAATGTTATTATTTATCACTTATATAATACGGGTAAAAAAAAAATTGTTTCTTGATATTTCAGGTTGGGATTTTAGGAATCCAAATGATTTGGACCCGGGATTCAACTGAAGCCCTTGTGGCAGCCCGAACTGATCGAAAGATTATGCAACAAACTAACCAGGAATTTCTGAAACTGCTCAACACGTTAATTGGCCAAACAACGCTTGATCTAAACAAAACAGACCGCACTAAATATGAGACGCTAATCACAATCCACGTTCATCAGAGAGACATTTTTGATAACTTGGTGAGTTGAATTTACAGTTTTTTTTAATAATAAAGGTCACTTAATGCATAATTCGAGAGCCACAAGGTACATGGTAGAGTTAAAATGCTTATGAGGAATAAAGACTGTAATAAATAAATAGTAAAGTCACTGTTTAAAAAAGGTTATCCACTAAATATACCGTTTAAAGCGATGAGAAACAGTGTTGGATTTGAATCCATAATCACTTAGAAATGATTTAGTCTACGTTTTGAATACGAAACTAATGTCAGTAGATATGGGTTCTTCGGAAGGATTCGAACCTACGTTCCCCATCGATGCAATCTGTTGCCGAGAGGTTCAAGCATGTCAGATCTCATGAAGATTTTCCCTAGGGTAGTGATTCCCAAACTATTTTTTTTCTCTGGGTCGCATTTTCGGAATGAAAATCCGTTAGCGACTCACCAAATTTGATGTGATAAAAAGTACATTAAAATAATAAACAGAGAGGAAGATAACCGTAGATTCGAAGTCAGAACATTATCATTGATAACTCTCTCCTCCAATTTACAGAACCCTAGTTACTATATTCTTAATACTTGATATAATGCAAAATTATCACAATGATAAAATCGGTGAATAATTATTTATAACTATTTATACTGGAACTCATGCATGCAATTAAAATAATTTATAATATTTTAAATTTTGAAATTATTTTTAATTTTGGCATATGAATTTTAAAATTTTTTTCTAAATCTTTGATTACATGACAAAATTTGTTGATTTATTTAATGTAGAATTTTGTATGAGACACCCAGTGAGGATCAAATTAATACTCAGCAGTAAGTTAGGTCGGTTAATTTTACTCACTGGGTTATTTTATTTCAAATTCTGTGTAGGGCACCTAGTGAGGATCAAATTTACTAATCAGTGGCCGTGATAAGGCTTGTTGATTTTACAAGCCAACCTTTGTTGGGTTATTATAACTGTACCAAACTCACTAGTAGTAATTGTTATGTTGACGGGTTTTACGACTTGCTAGTTGATTTTTTTTTAATGTTGAATTTTCTATGGATGACCAATGAGAACACTCTGGGTGGATGATTTAACCCGAGGAAGTAAAACGAAGAATCACTGAAATTTCTATTTCCAACTGAGTAGAAAATCTGTTTACATTTTTGATTTTGAACAAATAATTTTTTTTTCCAAAGTGAAAATTTATTTAAAAAAAGCTATAATGCATTTAATACTTAAAATGCATTGTGAATGTTAAATTAAGTAAAGCGTTTAAGGTATTTTTGAAAATAGAAAAAAAATCAAGACGATACATCAATAACTGGAAGCTGTTCTTTTTTTCTTAGTGTCGTTTACATATCCGAAGTCCAAACGATTTTGAATGGCTGAAACAGTCACGGTTTTATTTCCTGGAAGACCAAGACAAGTGCCTCATCTCTATCACCGATGTGGATTTCACATACCAAAACGAAATCCTCGGCTGCACAGAGAGATTGGTCATCACCCCACTTACGGACAGGTGAGTTAGAAGCATTTACTCTTTCCTTTTATATTACCCATTCAATGAAAAGAGGCATGAACTGTGAGATTCCCCGAGAGATTGGTCATCACCCCACTTACGGACAGGTAAGTTAGAAGCATTTACTCTTTCCTTTTATATTACCCATTCAATGAAAAGAGGCATGAACTATGAAATTCCCCGAGAAACGATAGTTGGAACGAACGCATTCCTATATTAAATAACATTAACTTTAAACCTGATCTTAAGTCTTATTAATAGAATTTTTACTATAATTAATTTTAAATAATAATTAAGAAAAACTACTCTTTAATTAAAAAGTTAAAAAAATCCAGCCTTTAATTTTGATTTTTAATCTCAATAATTAATTAATCTTATAATAAATTGTAAATAATTAATTAAGGGTAACTCTTCTTTACATCCATGTGTAAATTAATCTAAACAACCGCTTTAGTTTCCTTTCTTTCAGCAGACGGTCAGTTTTACACCCATTGGAGTGACAGGGTGTAATCGATTTCTATTTTTTCCTCAGATTAGGTCATTTGCAGTGGTATGAAGTAATATGAATATATTTTCTGGGTGTATGATGAAATTTATTTGGCTTTGAAAAATATTGCGTCATCCGTGATGGCCTAAGATTTTCATTCACTATTGTCTCGACTGTCGATGAGTTGTCCTACCGCCATTGTCTGCGATGAACGTTACTCCAAGGAAGCGTACGAAAATTGTAATGCTGCACGAACAAAATGGCAAACCTTACCAGTGAGCAAATGAAAGTACTATAGACCAGCTCGGAAATTCTTCTGATTTAAATCCAATCGATAATCTGTGAGTAATCTGCGAGGAACGACTTCGTGGAATGGACATACGAAGTACTAACATGTGCAATGGGTCATATTTCGTTGGAAAAATACGAAAAAAAAAGTAGATAATAACGGAATTATTCGTTTTGTTTGAATTAATTTGCGCAAGGGTGTAATTATCGTATATACATAGAGCAAACTTTAAGCTCGATGAAAACTCTCATCCTATGGATAGAATTTATAATTAATTGCTAATAAATAATTGAAGGAAAATGTGTGTTTTAGTGGCATTACTGCCTTGCTTGAGGTGATTCCGTTTAAAAAACAAAACAAAAAAAAAACCCTATAGCGCTGATTAAAGTATTCCTGGATGATCGATGGTAATAAAGGATTTGTGATTGTTAATGATTGACTTCTCGTTAATTTGGGGTTTTCCTGTTTGATTCTATTCCGCAGATGCTATATCACATTAGCGCAGGCCCTTGGTATGTCCATGGGAGGGGCACCTGCTGGTCCTGCAGGAACAGGGAAAACTGAAACAGTCAAGGATATGGGCCGTTGTCTGGGCAAATATGTTGTAGTCTTCAATTGCTCAGACCAGATGGATTTCAGAGGACTGGGCCGGATTTTCAAAGGTAAGCAGCCGGAAGTACTTTTCTCAGCCTTTTCATATCTATCTATATTTCTTATGGAAACATATGAGCTCTCCTGCAAGATTCGAACGTGCGTCACCCTGATTAGTGTGTGTGTGTCTATAGGTTGCTCCATTTTTAGCGGGACATAGCAAATACGATTTAACGTAATGTGACGCTAAAATATATCATTCACATTTCTCTTTCACACGTCTCCGTAGTATTAATATGAAAATTTCCGATATGACGCATCCTCCTTGCTTAGTGGCACACAGGTTCGAATCCTACCTGAGAGCGCATATATCTTATAGCATTTCTTGAATATTCAGACCGGTAGATGAAAATAAATAAATAGAGGGCCTACTCAAATATGGGTATTCACTAAAAGTAAAGTTTATGTAATATATATATATATATATATATATATGTATATATAGATAAGTGTGTGTGTGTGAGAGAGAGAGAGAGAGAGAGGGAAAGAGATACGAAACAGACGTAAGAGATAGATAGATAACGGACAGAACGTGATAGATAAGGAACAAACATAGATAGATAGATAGATAGATAGATAGATAGATAGATAGATATGAATAAACTGAGAAAAGAAATGAATAAACTGAGATAGATAGATAGATAAGAAACAGAATGAGATAAATATAGATAGATAAAAACAGAATGATATATATATATATATATATATATATATATATATATATATATATATATATATATATAGAGAGAGAGAGAGAGAGAGAGAGATAAGAAACAAAATGTGATAGATAGATAAAGGAAACGAATGAGATAGATAGATAGATAGATTATGAACAGAGGGCCTACTTAAATATGGCTATCCACTAAAAATAACGTTTAAGTACTAAAATCTGTCGGATTAATAAATATTAATCTATCATTTCATCTCTATCTCTCTATCTATTTTATGGTGCAATGGGTAAATTGTCGCTATTTTTTATTTTTTATTTCGTGCATGCGCGTTTTTCGTTCCTGATTTTGTCAATATAGTAGGGTCAGTTGGGCACCGTCTGTGAGAAAAATAGCGCCATGACGCAATTTACTCTGCCAGAAATTTGGAAACAGCTTGCTGTATTGCTTGGAATTCGCATCAGAAGCTCCAATACAAAGATTTCAGATTGTTTGAGTGTCAGTCTGAGGACAGTGCAGAGGATTTGGAAAGATTTGGATGATGTTATGCCTCCATCCATCTTCCCAGTGGGCCTCAGACTCAACATGCATGACTACATCAGCTGCCTTCAGGAGGTAGTTCTGCCCCGGGTCAAGCGGGTGGCTGCCGGAAGAGGCTATATCTGACAAAAGGACTCTGCACCATGCCACACAAGTAGAAGAACCTAGTCATGGCTGTCCAACAATTTCTGCGACCACACCACTCCTTACATCTAGCCACCTAACTCCCCAGACTGCAACCCTCTTGTGTGGAGCGCAGTTGAGCAAGAGACCAACAAAACTCCTTGTAACACCAAAGACAAACTGAAGGCAATGATTATGGCTATGGCAGAATTCACCAAATGAAAAGAGCCTGTGTAGAAGAGTTACGAGAGTTTCCGAAGTCGTCTGGAAGACGTAATTGAAGCGGATGGCGATTTTATTAAATATACTTAGTTTGTAGTATTTCAAGATATTTTTTGTGTCACTTTGGTAAGTATATCTGTTAAAATGAAATGCCTGTTATTTTCAGTATCTGTCTATATTTCTGAGATGAGATATTATGTATGTCTATTGTCTTCATCTTTGTCGCCATATTTATTACAACGTGTTGGTCGTTGTACGCTCCGGCCTTCTTCAGGTGGTTGGAATGTCGAACTGAACCCTCAAGGACACATGGCACAGTGGATAAAGGCGTTAGTTAGATCCAGTGAGGGATCCCAAAGAGTGTGAGTTCAATACCCGTTAAGGCAGTGGAGAATTTTCAGAGGAAAATTAACAGGAGATAACTGACACCCATGAGACATGACACGTGGAACTAGAACAGTCTAACCCAGTGAGCGAAATAAAGGGTTTAGTTCGACATTCCAACCACCTGAAGAAGACGGAAACGTTGTAATTAATATGGCGACAAAGATGAGGACAATAGATCAAATAATGTAAATAGTGTTATTTTCATTTTTGCGTAAATTAGACAATTTATCCATTGCAACCTGTATATGACCAAATGTAGCCAGAGATAGAATGTCAGTTACTCTGTAAATACTGATTTTTCCTTTTTGTCTCGTCCTGTTTTCTAATTAGGTCTTGCCCAGTCTGGATCTTGGGGTTGTTTCGATGAATTCAATCGGATTGACCTGCCCGTCCTTTCAGTTGCTGCTCAACAAATTGCCATTGTTCTTACATGTAAAAAGGAAAGAAAGAAACAATTTATTTTTACCGACGGCGACACAGTCCAAATGAACCCGGAATTTGGTATCTTCTTGACTATGGTAAGTATAACCTTCCTTCTTTAATAGCCATACATGACGTACGCTCGGCCGACCACGTCTAATATTCTATTCTCCTTCCTTACTTAGTTGGCATGCATGACTCACGCTCGGCCGATCTCGTCTAATTATCGATTCATGATTGGGTTGGTTGAAATATTCCCTCAGTAGGCTGCCGTTACATTCTGCGGTAGACAGGTTGCTAAGCAGTACTATAGAACACAGATTATCCTGCTATTTAACCCATAGCTGGGAGGGGAAGAGGTGTGTTCATACTTTCAATATTATTATTTGCGCGTAAGTTAATGTAACGAATTAAAATGCACAGGACACACACGGTTCAGTAAATAAAAATGGGGCGTCTATTTTAGATATGAATTAATCCGCGATAATAACGCTTGAAATAATATAGAGAGACCACTAATATTATCAATATATATATATAAATATATATATATATTTATATATATATATATATATATATTGATAATATTAGTAGACTCTCTCTCTCTATCTATCTATCTATCTATCTCTCTCTATATATATATGCATGTATATATATTTAAATTTCAAGAGGACGTAATCCAGGTAGAGCTCAATGTCCAGGACAGAACAAGTATATAATATAAAAGGCTCAAACACTAATATTCCATGGTTATAATTTATTACATTGGAATCGTAATCACGATCCAATTCATCAGATCTTTGGATCATGATTACGATTCCAATGCAATAAATTATAACCATGGAATATTAATGTTTGAGCTTTTTATTATTATTATTATTATTATTATTATTATATATATATATATATATATATATATATATATATATTAGGGCGGGCAGCTTATATTTTATATCATAAAGAAAAAATTTATACAATTTATTTTTGCTCAGCTTTTGGAAGGCATCTTTCAGTATACAAATGCGCCTTCGGAATTCCGTGTCGAATTTTCCAAATTCTGTTCAAAGGCTTCCCAGATATTTAAATTTTGTACTTCATTTTTGTATCTCCAATTCGTAATTTGGATGTTGGCTTTTCGTTTGGCTGACTACCATGGATTCTGTCATCTCACAATAGTCCTTTCTTCTCTCTTTCCTTCACTAAGTTCTGTATGTTCTTGTAGTTTCCTTTATGCATATGTTATCAACACTGCGTCATCTCAATATCTTATCTTGTTAAGATTGTTGCCGCCAATAATAAATCCTGGTAGGAATTCTAATTCTCTCACGATTGCTTCACTGTAAGGTTGAGTAAATCCGGCGAGAAGACACATCCTTGCCTTACATCGATTTCTATTTTCGTATATTTACTGAATTCATTTTCTATCCATATGCCGGCGTCTTGCTTCCAGTATAAGGTCTTGATTATTCTAATATCCTTCCTAAATACGTTATGGATTAAAAATTCTGGATACATCTACCATCAAAATTTAAATCGAAAGCCGAGCGTCTCTGTATCTTTAACGTTTCGATGTAAGCTGTTAGCGGCTTTTGAGAAAAATTCCGTCACTATTAATTTAAAAATGTCCCTTCTCGTCCCTTGATTTTTACAAATATTAGTTACATGGTTTCAGAATGTTATTAATGTATTGTCTCATGGTTGATATTGTAGAATCCTGGATATGCTGGTCGCCAAGAATTACCAGAGAATTTGAAAATCAATTTTCGCACAGTCGCCATGATGGTTCCTGACCGACAGATAATCATCCGAGTGAAGATGGCCAGTGTTGGATTTATTAACAACGTCATTCTTGCTTGCAAATTCTTCACCTTATATAAACTTTGTGAAGAACAACTCACCAAACAGGTAATTTTTTTATCTTATTCGACTTATATATGAGGCATATCATATACATAATTTCAACCTAGATGAAGTATGTGTAGTTTATTAAGAATTCCTTTAGGTCTTAAAGAAGAGCAACCTTCATCAGATTCTATAGACCGAGGCTACAGAATCTCTGATAAAGAGCTTTACCAAATGACAAAAACAATTTCTGATACTATTATTAGGACGCTCACCTACAAGAGAAAAGTTTTATTTTTATGTCCATCTCAAATGTTTCGGCAGATAAAATTTTTGAAGCCGGGTCACCTATGTAGCAACAAAGGGAACAAATAAATAAATAAATAAAATAAAGCTTTGGGGGGTCAAGTGACAACAGTGTCGGACATTGAGAGTTTCTGTTCACAAGTTGATATTAATAACCATATTTGGGATTGAGGAAGCGTGATCTGGTCTGTCCTTGGCTGGAAACAGACTATCCCTCGGGTAGTTCCGATGGCATTCGGTCATGTTCCCAGTCACCCGTGGTGATGTTGAAATGGGCATTGAACTGGTGGTGGTGGTGGGGAAACTATCGAAGGGTAGAGATGATCTGTTAGTGCAATATGGCAGAAATTATTATATTTGTAAAAAATCTTTGAAAATTTCTCGGCGCTCTCATAGCTATGAGAGTAAAATAGCCATAGTGCTATTATTGGGCCGGAACAAATTTTCGTCGTTTTTTTTTTAAAGTGAATTTCAAAAATAGTACTTATATTCGTACATAGATTAATTCATTAAGAGATGTGTCATTTTATGCTATTATATTTTGCCATGTTTGAGACAGCTTCATGGTTCTATCCTCCCAGAACTTTCCATCTTTCCGGGTGATGGCTTTCGGATAATCTAAGTTTCTTTTTAATTAAAAGTAGTGAGTAGGAATCGAAATATGTCTTAGTCCGAAAGTACACTTTCAGGTGAGTAAGGCGAGAGTGGCAAGGCTTAGCGATTCAGCTGTACTGTCGGGTCTGTTATGGATTTGTTCTGATGGAAGACAATACCCTTTCGATTGGCCTATTCAGAAGGCTTTTCATTGGTAATCTATCGAGTTTGGAACAATAGTTGCCCGAATTCAACGTCTGATTTTGCAAAAGGTGCTCATAATAAACAGTCCCGTCCCCAGCCTACCAGATACACAGCATCATTTTCTTCGGATGCAGACCCCGATCTCTGCAGTCGTTAAAGGTGTCTTATTTAGTTTTCTCTAGGACCTTTTATCGGTCCACATTTTCGTAAACAATACCCTTTTTATCGCATTTGATCTTTTTTTTTTTTTAAATGGATCGTTTCTGTTGCAGAGAATCGAAGACGGAAATGGACTCCGTTATTGATTGTTGTTAAAACGTTAGGCACCAAAACATCGTACCGATTCATGTATCCTAGTGTTCGCTACTAACTTACAACACTCATATTACATATGTGGAGTATCTCTGCGATGCCCCGTGTCGCGTAACCTGCGTTAATCTTCATCAGCGTTTCGATTTGGTAATCATCAACGACTGCAAGCCTGCGTCAAATGGCTAAAATGCAACTCATTTCCCTTACTTATCACTTTTAACGTAAAAAAAGAAAAAAAATGAAAACTGACAATCCCCAAACGAATTCTACAGAAAGACGCATTCAAAAAGTCACTTCCCAGAATATCTGTATATATGTGATAAATTTCTGTCACACCGGAAACGAAATTATGAGTTCAAACGCCACCTACGGAAAAATATTGCCAACTCCATATACTATATGTACACACTTGTGCAAATTAATTGAAACAACCGCTTTAGTCTCCTTTCTTACACTTTGCGGTCAGATCTAGACCCACTGGAGTGACAGGGTGTAATCGATTTCTATTTTTCCATTTGCAGTGGTGTGCAGTAATATGAATTTATTTAGATGTATGATGAAATTTATTTGGCCTTGAAAAATATTGCGCCATCCGTGATTGCATCAGATTTTGATCATGCCTAGACACTATTGTCTCGACTGTCGATTAATTGTCCTATGGCCATTGTCTGTGATGGATGTTGCTCCAAGGAAGCGTACGGAAATTTGTCAGTGAGCAAATCAAAGTACTATTGACTGGCCTGGAAACTCTCCTGGTTTAAATCCAATCGAGAATCCGTGTTCAATCTGCAAGGAAAGACTTCGTTGAATGGACATACGAAGTACTAACATGTGCACTGGGTCATGTTTCATTGAAAAAATGAAATAATAACGGAATTATTCGTTTAGGTTTCGATTAATTTGCACACGGTATATATATATATATATATATATATATATATATATATATATATATATATATATATATAGTACAGGTAATCGATCCGTTGGTATATAATCCGGGTGGATCCTAGTATTTATTAAAATAATTTATTACTTATTAAAACTGAGCCACAGAGAGCTCGATGTTTTTATTTTAACAGAGCATATGTATATATGGAGATCCACTAGGGTAGTATACCAGGCAACCATTACCCCTAAAGAAAATATGACAAACCATAATATTTACATCAGCATTTCTGCAGGAGAATTTAAAAAGAGAATCAATACACATAGACATTCATTCACCAATCCAAAATTAAAAGCCAAACAGCCCTTTCGAAAAAAAATTGACAATTGAAAGGAAAAGGGTCTGAATCTTCAAATAAATTAGAAAATTCTAGGTTTCGCTAACACCCCAATAGTTTTAGGGGTAGTGCAAGCAAAGTTTAGAAGAAAAAGTCAGCATAATAAAACCTAAAGATCAAGGCAAACTATAAAATCAACGGAGAGAACTAATCACGAAATGTAGACATAGAAATAAATTCCAAGTTACATAAGAATGCATGTGCATATATGTGGGGGGGTGTATGTGGACGTATAGTTGCATAAATGTATGAACATGTAAATGTACATATATATGTATGTATGAAGATATGTACGCATATAAATATGTTGAACAGCCTCCATTGTGTGCCCTTGTATTACCCACAATCTATAAATCTATGACTCAACTAATTTACATTAAGTTTAAATCCTCCATCGCTTAGTAGTACTAAAATTATTTACTGTGAATCCCAGAAAAATTCACTCCGGGGCCTTTATAAGAAACACCACATAGGAACTGATATTAAGCTCCAAATAAAAATCTTGGCCATAAATAATCTTCAAACCCAGACCGCTTCCCCCGGGATAAGATAACTTACGCCCCCATCAATCGCTAACACAAACCCAATCTCATTAACAAAGCGCCTACTAGAGAAGGACTGACTTTGAAAATAAATTTAGAACAATGCTCGGAGACAAGCACTTAGAGGCTGATGAAATAGACTATACCTATGTTGAGGTAATTTTTGGTTTTTAGTTGTAATATTTATATATATATATATATATAGTGATTTTCCAAGCGTAGCTTGGATGTGGCAAAGGCCAAATTTAAGGGGCAGCCAGTGAGGATCGAACTCACTACTCATTCGGAGGAGGACTGATATTATAATACATAGCAGTTCGGAACTTTTTTGTGCTTCTAATAAGATTTTCCTTTTTCATAACGGTTTGTTTAGGTTTTGGAAGCGTTCGGATTTCGATGTTAAATTTTTGGTTCTTTGTTAAAACACTTCCCAGATACTTAAATTTCTGATTTTGACGTACCCAATCAGTAGCTCGCGTTCTGCGTGTTTCATCTCATTCGTCTTGTTGCCCGTTTTCCTACCGCATCTACGTACCCTCCCAGTGTAATTGTTCTGATGACCTCTCCACTTTCGTAACTGGACGTCACGAGTTTAAGAGCAGTACTAGATTGTCAGATAGGTCTCATCATTTTATTATTGAAACAGCTAAATATAGCCATAAATTCTATGCTAATAGTTTCTTCTTTCGCACTTCTCGCCCGTGGAAGTCTTTTTTGGCGTCTTGCTTCTTTCCAGTCGACTACGATCTTTAAAAAATTAAATGCAACATTTGTGAATTTGATTTTTTTTTTTTGGAGCAGCATATCGACCTCTATGAGTTTAGCAACAGATAAAATGCATTGTTGGTCATTTTGCTATAAAATTTATTGTTGGTAATAGTCTGCTTTAAAAATGTATCGTTGGTAATTTTTATATAAAGATGTATTGCTGGTATTTTTATTATAAAAATAATTTTTTCATTTTGATAGTGTTTTGGTTTTACTATTTGTTCATAGCAATTTCTACCACCCCCGTGACAGGGTGGACCTGGGTACAACAGCAATCAAGAGGTTGTTCCACGCACCTCAAAACCACCAATCTACCGATCAAAGGCCTTGCTGCCGGATATAGTTTATCGTCATACCCAGGACCTCAATGCAAAGTCAGTCGTCGTCAACTGTCTCCTTAATACCTGTTCATTTATTGTCCTATCTCCATAATAAACTTTTTAAAGTTTGTTTTCTCAACTTGGGTTGAGTTATTTAATATCGAATTTTGCAGGGGCACCCAGTGAGGATTCAACTGACTACTAGGTCGTAATAGTCAATTAGTAACCTACATTGCAGGGGCACCCAGTGAGGATTCAACTGACTACTAGGTCGTAATAGTCAATTAGTAACCTACTTTGCAGGGGCACCTAGTGAGGATTCAACTGACTACTGGGTCGTAATAGTCAACTAGTAACCTACTTTGCAGGGGCACCCAGTGAGGATTCAACTGACTACTAGGTCGTAATAGTCAATTAGTAACCTACTTTGCAGGGGCACACCCAACTGAGGGGTCGTATTCAACTGAACTACTGGGGGCGTAATCAACTCAAGGTCTAGTAACATAACCTGCTTTGCTAGGGCACCTTAGTGAGGATTCAACTGACTACTAGGTCGTAATAGTCAATTAGTAACCTACTTTGCAGGGGCACCTGTGTGATTCAACTGACTACTGGGTCGTAATAATCAACTAGTAACCTACTTTGCAGGGGCACCCGGTGAGGATTCAACTGACTACTAGGTCGTAATAGTCAATTAGTAACCTACTTTGCAGGGGCACCTAGTGACGATGCAACTGACTACTGGGTCGTAATAGTCAATTAGTAACCTACTTTGCAGGGGCATCTAGTGAGGATTCAACTGACTACTGGGTCGTAATAGTCAACTATTAACTTACTTTGCAGGGGCACCCAGTGAGGATTCAACTGACTACTAGGTCGTAATAGTCAATTAGTAACCTACTTTGCACTGGGTAACCTACTTTGCAGGGGCACCCAGTGAGGATTCAACTGACTACTGGGTCGTAATAGTCAATTAGTAACCTACTTTGCAGGGCACCCTAGTGAGGATTCAACTGACTACTTTTGCAGGGGCACCCGGTGAGATTCAACTGACTCGTAAAGTCAACTAGTAACCTACTTTGCAGGGTAACCTAGTGAGGATTCAACTGACTACTGGGTCGTAATAGTCAACTAGTAACCTACTTTGCAGGGGAACCTAGTGAGGATTCAACTGACTACTGGGTCGTAATAGTCAACTAGTAACCTACTTTGCAGGGGCACCCAGTGAGGATTCAACTGACTACTAGGTCGTAAAGTCAACTAGTAACCTACTTTGCAGGGGCACCCAGTGAGGATTCAACTGACTACTGGGTCGTAATAGTCAACTAGTAACCTACTTTGCAGGGGCACCTAGTGAGGATTCAACTGACTACTGGGTCGTAATAGTCAACTAGTAACCTACTTTGCAGTGGCACCCAGTGAGGATTCAACTGACTACTAGGTCGTAATAGTCAATCCGTAACCTACTTTGCAGGGGCACCCAGTGAAGATTCAACTGACTACTAGGTCGTAATAGTCAACTAGTAACCTACTTTGCAGGGGCACCTAGTGACGATGCAACTGACTACTAGGTCGTAATAGTCCACTAGTAACCTACTTTGCAGGGACACCCGGTGAGGATTCAACTGACTACTGGGTCGTAATAGTCAATTAGTAACCTACTTTGCAGTGGCAACTTCAGCTGAGGATTCAACTGAACCTACTGGGTCGTCAACTAATAGGTCAACTAGTAACCTACTTTGCAGGGGGCACCCAGTGAAAATTCAACTGACTACTAGGTCGTAATAGTCAACTAGTCAACCTAGTGACGACCTACTTTGCCACCTAGTAACCTACTTTGCAGGGACACCCGGTGAGGATTCAACTGACTACTGGGTCGTAATAGTCAACTAGTAACCTACTTTGCAGGAGCACCCAGTGAGGATTCAACTGACTACTAGGTCGTAATAGTCAATTAGTAACCTACTTTGCAGTGGCACCTAGCGAGAATTCAACTGACTACTGGGTCGTAATAGTCAACTAGTAACCTACTTTGCAGGGGCACCCAGTGAGGATTCAACTGACTACTAGATCGTAATAGTCAACTAGTAACCTACTTTGCAGGGGCACCTAGTGACGATGCAACTGACTACTAGATCGTAATAGTCCACTAGTAACCTACTTTGCAGGCACACCTAGTGACGATGCAACTGACTACTAGATCGTAACCGTAACCTACTGTGAGGATTCAACTGAGTACTGGGTCATAATAGTCAACTAGTAACCTACCCAAACATTACCCCACACTGAAGTGCCATTTCGACTACAGTGAAATTGTTCCTAAATTGGTGCCGCATTTTTGGCCTTGTACCTGTCTTAGCGAGGTAACTAGTTAAATGAGTAATCGTCTATTTAATCATTTTTTTCTGTTTTTATCGTATTTTTTCCATTCCGCAGGTCCATTACGATTTTGGTTTACGGAACATTCTGTCTGTTCTGCGAACTCTGGGTGCGGTTAAGCGTTCTTGCCCAGACGATACAGAACAGACTATTGTAATGCGGGTTCTTCGTGACATGAACCTTTCCAAACTGGTCGACCAGGACGAGCCTCTATTCCTCTCATTAATCAACGATCTCTTCCCGGGAATTGTTCTTGACAAGCAGGCATATGCCCTACTGGAAAATGCCATCTCCAGACAAATCGAAAAGGCTAAACTCGTTGACCATCCAACGTGGACACTGAAATTGATTCAAGTAAGTAGAAGATCATTATTGCCATTATTATTCCAATCACTGGTGTTATTGTGATTTGAACGAGATATAAAAAGAAAAAAAATATTACCAACACTCACCCGTGTTGCTGTCATTTCCATGCTAACTGCCACTTTTATTAGACATCAACAGGGATAAAAATAAAAAGGAAAGGAGAAATAAAAAAGATAATCATATATGTAATCATTCTCTTTGCTTCGTCCTGGGTACGACGTTAAACTACATCCGCGTCTAGGGTAAGACGATAAACTACGTCCAACAGCAAGGCCTCTGATAAGGAGGTTTTGAGGAGCAGGGAACCACCTTTTAATTGCTGGTGTTCCCAGGTCCACTCTGACCCGGGCTGGTAGCACCTGTTAGGGTCCTAGCTAAGGGCAAATAGCTAGACCCCAAACTGGTGTTAAAACATTATGAAAGTGTAAAAATAGGTTTTAAACCAGGAATACTTTGTAAAATATTATTACCAAAATAGATTTTTGAAGAAAAATTGTTACCAGCAATACATTTTTGAAAAAAAATATTACCAGTAATAAAAATCTTGTCGGCATTAAATAACCCATTGAGGCTGATATGCCGTAAAACAAACCAAACCAAACCAAACCGATATATACTGAGATAGATAGATAAATAGAAAAAATATTACCAGCAATAAAAACATTTTGTCGGCATTAAATAATCCATTGAGGTAGATATGCCGTAAAACAAAACAAACCGAACTAATATATACTGATATATATATATATATATATATATATATATATATATATATAGATAGATAGATAGATAAAAAATATTACCAGCAATAAAAGCTTTTATCGGCATTAAATAACCCATTGAGGTAGATATGCCGTAATGCAAAACAAACCGAACCAATATACACTGAGATAGATAGATAGATAGATAGAGAGATAGATATAAATAGATAGATAGATAAAAAAATATTACCAGCAATAAATATCTTATTGGCGTTAAATAACCCATTGAGGCTGTTATGCCGTAAAACAAACCAAACCAAACCAATATATACTGAGATTGATAGATAGACAGACAGATAGATAAAACATTACCAGCAATAAAAAAATTCTCGGCATTAAATAACCCATTGGGGTAGATATGCCGTAAAACAAAACAAACCCAACCAATATATATATATATATATATATATATATATATATATATATATATATATAGATAGATAGATAGATAGATAGATAGATAGATAAAAAATATTACCAGCAATAAAAACTTTTATCGGCATTAAATTACCCATTGAGGTTGATATGCCGTAAAGCAAAACAATAGATGGATTGATAGATGTATAGATAGATAGATATAAATAAATAAATAGACTGAAATAGATAGATAGATAGATAGATAGATAGATAGATAGATAGATAAAAAAATATTACCAGCAATAAATAACCCATTGATGTAGATATGCCGTAAAACAAAACAAATCACACAAAACCAAACCAGTCAAAACTTCCAAAAAAATTAAATTTCAGTATTAAATGACCCATAAGGAGTTAATATGCCATTAAACAAATAAACAGACAAACGCACTTCGTACGTAGTATTCTCAGCATTCATATGTCATTATTTACATTTCTGTTTCCTCCAGTTTTCTCTTCATTCGATATGAAACTGCGTCACATTTACTGCCATAGAGAAGCACTGATATTACATAGAGATGCAGCACTATTTTATTGATTTCTAACGAATGTTTTCTGTCTCTTGATATTTTGCTTAACACTATTTGAAGCATTTACGTCATTTTTCTATTCGAAAATGATTATTTTTTGTAGCTTTACGAAACACAGCGTGTACGTCATGGTATGATGACCCTGGGACCTAGTGGTGCGGGTAAAACATGCTGTATTCACACCCTAATGAAGGCCATGACAGACTGCGGAGAAATACACAAGGAGATGCGAATGAATCCAAAAGCTATCACTTCATCCCAAATGTTCGGTAAACTCGATGTTGCCACCAACGACTGGACAGACGGTATTTTCTCCACCCTCTGGAGACGAACGCTCAGGGCTAAAAAAGGTAGGATTCTTTCATTCTTTACTTTTCTTATCATCATATACTGTGCCTCTTACCTTTTATTCTACAACCCTCTAGCTCGTGTGGCTCTTGAGCCTTGTACAAGGGAATATTATTGTAAAAGTTACGGATCGATTGGATACTGTATTTAGGTGAATATGAACCCCACTTCTAAACTGATTATAAAAATCAATATTTTTCGATATGCCAAATATTGTGGCATTAAAAAATGTTCGATAAATAATAACCTACAAGAATCCCCCTCCACATCCAATTTCCCTGGATGCTTGAATCATATTAAAATTTAATTTCTATGAATTGAAATGTTCTTACAGAAATCTTAGAATCAATGAAGTATTTGATTGCGCATGCGTCTACGAAATTCGGTTTGGAGCTGGATCTTGATTTGAATCTTTCTCGTGATAAGTTATGATTAAGCCAGATGACAATGAATTACATTTAGATAATTAAAAAAAAATAATTTCACCTCCAAACAGGGCGGGAAAGCTACTAAGACGAAATGGGTTAGGAGGAGAACAGTAAAAGAAAAGGATTCAAAGAGAGACAGAAGATTATGATTGACATTTGGAATGGCAAATGTTGACAGGGAATCAAGAAGCTGGAAGAGATTTCCAATGGCGGGAAGTGTGAGGCAAGGTTATGGAATTAACACATTAATTCCATTTATATTTTACGCGCGCGTGAGTTTCCTCCCTTCCTTTCACACTCGTGCGTGTGTGCGCGCGGTTTTTCACCCCTACCTTCCACTCACAGCTAAACATAGCAGTAACCTCGCTAGCTCCTACTGATTTGGACTCATAACAGATTTTGAATTTTCCCGCGCGTTTTTCGGCGTCTCAAAAACTGCTAGCGTTTGCAACCAGTTGCCTCTCGACTTTCGACCTGACTAGATGGGCAACTCATTTATTCCGTGCCCTTAACCCATATGCGGGCCGGAATATCTTATTTCAACAATGGCGACTTCACACTCTACCAAGACTTCTTCTCGTCTTGAAGCTAATCACAGGTCAGACCTTCTCCGTTTTCGACCAGAAGACGTTAGAGACACGACACAGTCGACGGCAGAAACTTCGTATTCAACTAATAATGGCTTATTTTTATTCCTCGTCAGCGAACCAATAAATACAGACAGGGATATCCTACTGACGAACAACTTCGACTTCACACTCTACCAAGACTTCTTCTCGTCTTGAAGCTGCCCGCAGGTCAGACCTTCTCCGTTTTCTACCAGAAGACGTTAGAGACACACGACACGGTCGTGAGCAAAACTTCGTATTCAACTAATAATGGCTTATTTTTATCCCTCGTCAGCGAACCAATAAATACAGACAGGGATATCCTACTGACGAACAACTTGCTAATCGCAGATCAGACCTTCTCCGTTTTCGACCAGAAGACGTTAGAGACACGACACAGTCGTCGGCAGAAACTTTGTATTCAACAAGTAACCAATAAAAACACCAAATAATTAATTCTGCGTCCTTTTTTGGCTCGTCATTCAAAGTCCTTCTACGAGATGATGCATATACCAAATAATTAACTTTTCGGCCCTTTGTGACTCGTCATTCAAAGTCCTTCTACGAGATGATGCATATACCAAATAATTAACTTTTCGGCCCTTTTGTGACTCGTCTTTCAAAGTCCTTCTCCGAGACGATGCAGAACATACAAAATATTAATCCGTCGTCCCCTTTGGGCCTCGTCATAAATCTGTTTTGAACCAGTACAGAAAAAGAAAAAAATATATACATAACATTTCACTCACATTAGCCAAAACTCGCAGTGAGTATTTTTTTCCTTGTATGTATATTATCATGTACATTGACTTATCTGTAACCTCCTTCTTATTCAAGAACTTTTCCCGCCTTTAGCCATCTTGTTTCTATTTTTGGCGCGGAACATTTTTATTGATCCCTACTACGGGATAATTTACTTGTTTTTCCTGCATTTAATAAAAATTACTCTTGTTGGAATCCAGTCTTTTTCCTATCATTCTGTGTCGGCTATCTTAATATATTTTATTTTATGCACTTGTTGATTGACCCCTTTCCTCTCACTGTTCATTCACGCATACATTTTTATTTTTTACTTTGCTTGTAGACTCGGTAGTTTAGTGTGGTGTCTGGCACAAGGCCACTTTGTAATAAACCAGCACTGCACGCTGCCGGGTCTGCAACAAGGTGTTCTTAGAATAGAACTTACGGTTACACTTAATAATTCCAGCAGTATAAATGGTAAAGACTGGCTGGCTATCTACTACAAAGCCTAATTTCACGATGTGTAAGTACAGAAGAGGAGAACTTTAGAACAATTACCATTTATATATTTATAAAAAAAGGCACAGGGAAGCTACGTTTCAATGCTGAGAAAGTTATTGAAGCCGAGATGCCAGGTCAGGACGAACAACATTGCAGATACTTTTTTCTCAAGACTATCTAGGTATATAAATAAAAGCACCAGAAAGATTTGAAAAAAGAATGAGTCATTGTGAGATGTTTGATGAGCCAAATCAAAATGTCATTTTATGAAATTTTCGCTCTAAATTATCGCTATTATTTCATAAATAGTTCTAAGATCCTCATAAAAAACAACAAAAAACAAAAAATAAAACAACAAAAGAACACAAAGCCCGAATTAGGGTCTTGTGTTTTTTTAGTATTAAAGCCTCATACTTGCTTTTATTTTGAAATATTACATTTCATGTGGCACAAGGCCAAGGGGGAGAGAGAGAGTGGTCGTTACTGATCATATTCAGTCAGTTATGTACCATGCGTGATACACGCGTAGGTGATCATGTATCTTTCGATACATGACTGACGAGGCAGTAGGTTGTCATTTCTTTCTGCGTTAGACCAGTTATCCATCCAAGGCTACAGAGCCCGGTCTGTCCTGCTATTTACCCATAGCTGGGGGAGAAGAAGAGGAGGATTCATACCAAGGGTATGATCACGTAAGTGAATGTAATGGATTCGACTGGAATTCGAACTCGCCTCTCCGATTCCTCAATCCGAGCCGCTACCCATTACTCCACTGTGCCTCCTCTGACCATCTTACACTTAGTTAATCTGGTTCGTGGCTCATTCATTCATTACAATTTACTCATACGCCACAAGAACTCATTCCTTCAATTCTATACATACCATAATACCGCATATTTACCAGGATATATATAGGGGTCATAACGGTAATAAGAATTTCAGGCACAAGAGCCAGGTAGTTCATCGTCGCAGCCAAGGACTCCTTCCCAAAGCTTCTGATTGGCTCTGGTGGAGTCACCAGATATTAGAAAAATTGCCAAACACATTGACAGTTTTGGTGTATGTAGGATTGAGAGGTGATGGATAAGTTCTTGTAGTGAATGAGTAAATTCTAATGAATGAATTGGTCGTGAGTTTGATTAAGTAGAACTAAGGTAGCTAATGAAGTCCATCCTCTCCACATTTCCCCTTTTGTATTTATACAGAATAAATAATTTCTGGTAGCGAACAGAAGACGATGGTTGGTTGACTTACGCTACGCTGTTTAGTGAAAGAAACTTTATTCGAAGCAAGAACTTGTCCTCAAGGACACATGGCACAGTGGATAAAGGCATTAGTTAGATCCAATGACAGGACCCAAAGAGTGTGAGTTCAATACCTGGTTAAGACGGTGGAGGACTTGGAGAGAAATTAACAGGAGATAACTGATAACTGACATCTATTAGGCATGGCACGTGGAACTAGAACAGTCTACCCCAGTGAGCGAAATAAAGGGTTCAGTTCAACATTCCAACCACTTGAAGAAAGCCGGAGCGTACAACGGTCGAAAAGTTGTGATAAATATGGCAACAAAGATGAGGATGATAGTCCGAACAATGTAAATAGTGTACATAATACCTCATCTCAGAAATATAGGCAAGAACTGGTTAGGTAACAGACAATTAAATAATATTTTCCGTATTAAATTTTTATGTAGGTTTGTTATTAAGCAATCATATATTTGTTTATACTTTATTTTACTTATTGGGTTCATCATTCAGCATCTTTTCAGGCCATATATTTTTATACATTTTTGTTAAAAAAAGACAATTTGTATATTATCAAATGTCATGGGTATTTTAGTAGGATCTCCGTAGTGTCTGTTGGAACGAAAGGCGATGGATGAATTCTTGTGGTGATAGAGTAAATTGTAATGCATGAGTGGGTCGCGAATCAGATCAGCTCGGTTTTTGGGTCGTCAGTATTGACAAGGCTCACCTTACTCCCTCTTCAGCCTTGTGCCAAAATTGTTATTAATCATATATTTGTTGTATTCATCATAAAAAAAAATTGTTAAAAATATAGTTGCATGTGACGTCATAAACATGGTGTCATCTGACGTCATAAATATGGCTGAATATAACTGGGTAAGCGTTGCAAGGTAGCGAAATGGTTATTTAAACAGGAAACAAAATCAGCTATCAGAGTTCGAATCCCGATCGCGGTTACTTATATTTCTATCACATTAATATATGATAATCTAATATGATTTTTCTTTCTCTGTGTATTTTTTTATTTATTCAGGTGAACATATCTGGATAGTTTTGGATGGACCTGTGGATGCAATATGGATCGAGAACTTGAATTCCGTGCTGGATGACAATAAAACTCTGACTTTAGCCAACGGCGACCGAATCCCTATGGCCCCAAACACTAAAATCATCTTTGAGCCGCATAATATCGATAACGCTTCGCCAGCCACTGTATCCAGGAATGGTATGGTCTACATGAGCAGTTCTGGGCTTGATTGGTTGCCCATACTGAAGGTAAGATTCTGGTGTGTTTTTTTCTTGTAAATTGTTAATAATGATACTAATATTAGCCGTTTTCTTATAAGAAAATATTCGCGTCACTTCAGTTACGCTTCGTTTCCATCTTTGGCCATTGGTCTGGAATCAAAGTGTAGTATCTGTTCTCATCTCTAATAAAAATGCCGATATCAGCTGTTTCCTTATAAGTAGCCAGAGCTACTCGAGTTATGCTTTTTTATCCCTTGGCCGTCGGATTATGATGAAAGTGTTCTCATCTTTAATGTCAATGGTAAATTAGAGCTGTTTACTTATAAGGAAATATTCGACATTAAATGTCCGTCCAGTCAAAAGGCTAGTTGAGTTAAACTTTTCTGCATTCCTTGGACATCGTACTAGGATCAAAGTGTAATATCTGTTCTCCTTGTCTCTAATGGTATTGGCAATTGTATGCGTTTCCTTATGAAGAGATATTCGGTGTTTCTCAGTTCCACACTTTCTCAGCTAAACCTCACCATACCACATCCAAAGGACCGAATCATCCACATTCCCTTCGTATTCCGTTAGTAAGAAGAGATTTCCACCCAAACAGCTTCTTCCCAAAAACTGCTACTTGATGGAACAGACTCATGAGAGGATGCTTTCGCAGTCACTATAATCTTAACCTCTAAGGTTAACCAATATCGTTTATATATAGCCATATAAACTGAACTTATTACCATCTACGCGTACGTATATCAACCTCATTCAGTAACCCTATACTCAGAGCGGCTCTTGGGTCTTGTATTGGGTTGCCAATTAGTAAAGAAATTGTTGTAAATAGTAGTTTCTTCAGCAACCCTCGAAGTTGACAAATATATTATTTCGCATTGGTTATTCCGTAAGTGTGCTTAACGATGTCATGTCAAATTAATAACTACGAAATTCAAAAGGATATTTATTTGGCTATTTCAGGGCTGGTTGAATTATCGCCCAGTCCAAGAGGCCGGAATCATTTTGAGTTTGTTCGAACGAAGTTTCCCTCAGTTGTACAACTTTGCCGCGCAAAACCTGCTATTCAAAATGGATATACTCGAAGCCTTTGTCATAACACAGGTAAGTAATCAGTTGTCTTCAGTTATTTTGCCGATTTGCTTATCTATCTATCTATCTATCTATCTATCTATCTATCTAATTCTGCTATCTATCCATTGATCTCATTCTGTTAATGATCTATCTCATTCTGTTCTTATCTTTCTAATTCTGTTATCTATCTCATTCTGTTATCTATCTATCTATCTATCTATCTATCTATCTTAGTCTATTCATATCCGTTTTTGTTAATATCTATCTATCTATCTATCTAATTCTGTTAGCTATCCATTGATCTCATTTTGTTAATGATCTATCTCATTCTCTTCTCTATCTTTCTCTCTATCAAATTCTGTTATCTATCTATCTATCTATCTATCTATCTATCTATCTATCTATCTAATGGGTTAGAAGGTTTCCCGCACAAATTTTATTAACAACGATACAATACAATAATAAGCACATATCAAGCATTGGCTATTTTTAACCACCAACTTCTAATGACAAGGTAGATCTATGATAAACTTATTGTAAAATTCAACCACCTTGCTATCGAAGAATTCACCAACTTATAAACGTTTTGCTATTCAAGAAGTACTGTAGTGCTTGCAATAAATGGTAGCCTGTTGTCGCCAGGTCTGGCGAGTACGGTGAGTGAAGGTGTACTTCCCAATACAGCTCTAGAAAAATTTCACGGGTGATCTTTGCTACGTGTGCTCGGGTGTTATCATGAAGGAATATGACATTAATCAATTCTGAACGTTTTTGTGCAATTGCGTCACTCACACGTTGCAGTCGTTGACAGTACATTTGAGCGCTGATAGACTGATTGCATTCCATCATTTCCCAATGAATCACTCCCTTCACACCCTACCAATCACAAACCATGTCAAGGCGTGAGGGTCGACCACTTCTTGACTGATCTTGAAGATCGAAGATATGCATTTTTATGGCACTGGCACCTGCTTGCACTTAAATGTTGCACTACAATGAATCATATTGCATCATGTGTTACCGTGTGTAGCTCAGAGATAGTGGAACTAGTTTATGTAACACTACGTCACAAGATGAACGAGGATTTTAAGTTTTATCAGATTATCTGAACAACCCAAGAATATCAGTATCTGTCTATATTTCTGAGATGAGGTACTATGTACACTATTTACATTATTCGGACTATTGTCCTCATCTTTTTCGCCATATTTATTACAACGTTTCGGCCTCTCACTATCTGTCTATATTTCTGAGATGAGGTATTATGTACATTATTTACATTATGCGGGCCATTGTCCTCATCTTTGTCGCCATATTTATTACAACGTTTCGGCCTTTCAGTATCTGTCTATATTTCTGAGATGAGGTATTATGTACACTATTTATATTATTCGGACTATTATCCTCATCTTTGTCGCCATATTTATTACAACGTTTTAGCCGTTGTACACTCCAGCCTTCTTCAGGTGGGTGGAATGTCGAACTGAACCCTTTATTTTGCTCACTGGTGTAGATTGTTCAAGATACACGTGCCATGTTTAATGAGTGTCAGTTATCAGTTACCTCCTGTTAATTCCCCAGGGTATAAAGGCGTTGGTTAGATCCAGTGACAGGACCCAAAGAGTGTGAGTTCAATACCCGGTTAAGGCAGTGGAGAACTTTCCTATATTTGAGACTCATCAGCTGTGCGCATCCATTACCGAGAATTGAAACCCGGGCAGTTATGATAGGAGGCAAACGCCATACCAGCAGTACCAACGAGCCTCGGTGACGAAGAGGTAATGAATTAGACTCGATATAGCGCCGCTCGATCACATATTCCGTGGTGGAACTCATCCTAGTCTCTCTTTACCTATAGGACTGTGCTCCCGAGCTACGACTACTATCCCGAAGCCGCTCAGTCCAGAGCATTAGAAGCCGGTTCAAGCAAGGATATACAGCTAGAGATAATTAGGAGGATTTCAAATAATTATAATTAAATGATTCATCGAGTCGAGAAGAAACCTCAACAGAATGCAGAAAGCACTGGACGGCCGTTTCGTCCTATATTTGGGACTCATCATAAGTGCCTATCCACTACCGAGAATTGAAACCCGCACAGTTACATTATCAGGCAAACGTCATACCACCTGTTCCAACGTAGAGGTAGCGAGTCAGACTCGCTATAGAGCTGCTCGATCAAATATTCCGTGGTGGAACTCATCCGAGTTGCCCTTACGCATAGGACTGCCTCCACGAGCGACGGCTACTATCCCCAAGCCGCTCAGTCCACAGCATTAGAAGCCGGTTCAAGCAAGGATATACAGTCAGGAATAATTAGGAGGACTTGAAATAATCATAATTAAGTAATTCATCGAGTCTTCGATTTCAGTTACCGGTTTCGAGTCCAGCTATTTTCAAAGAAGTGGGTTTACTATTTTTTGGAAACCATTGCTCTATAATCTTTCAACATAAGGCAGACAGTTTATATTCTACTGACGAAGTCTGTGTCTCGATATTTAAATTAAGCTTCGTATAGTACAAAACTAAAAACGAGGTAAAAAGAGATAGGAAAATTCGGACTTCATCCTATCTTCCTCGGCTGCCATGGTTGATGCACAGTTGAGCAATCATGTCTCTTTGTTTCATGAGTGATTTGACAGAACAATTCCTGCAGTAGGCTCGAGTTACTTTCTTGCAGCAGACAGATTACCAACCAAGTCTATAAGTTCCAGTCTGTCATGCTATTGTAACCCATAGCTGGGTAAGAAGAGATGGATTCATGCCATTCTTAAATATATTTGCGTGAATTTAACGAATTCGAACTCGACTATCCGATCTGTCATTCCGAGGCGTTATTCGTCACATCCAGTCTTACAGCACCTGGTATTCCCAAGCGATCACCCATCTAGGTACTGACCAGTTACGACGTTGCTTAGCTTTGGTGATTGGACAAGAACCGGTGTTTCAAAGGTATATGCCTATTACACTAAACACACCCAATCTTACAGCGCCTGGCATTCCACAGCGGTCACCCAAGTACTGACCAGGCTCGACGTTGCTTAACTTCGGCAATGGTATGGAAGATCAATATTCGAAATTCTGGGGTTAAGTAGCATCTTATCTTTTCTAGAAACAAAGGTAATCATTTTTTGTTGAACCGACCCGCATGTCAGAAATTGGCTTGGCGAAACTGTCACAAGTCATCGTGGTCGAGCTCGTAAGAATACTAGCCTTATTCAACTACTGATCACGCCAGATTATGCGCTCTTTCCCCCAAATCTTAATTAAGATCCATTCAAACTAATTTCAGTATAAACCACAGTTTGGCTCTGGAGGTTTTCGAAGAAATAAAAATGTGCCCGAGATGGCGTCTGCAACAGGGATTAGCTAGCCACCCAAGCAGCCATTATTATTATTGAGCGAGGAAGTAGCATACTAACAAAGTGACACTGGGGTACAAATATACAAAGCAAAGTATGGCACCCAGTCTGATAAGGGTATACCACGCACATGCATCACAGCCAAATGGGTACAATTTTGGCGACTTGTTTTGATAAAAGCAACGTTGAAGGTGGGGTGCATTTAGAAATAGTTTCAAATCCAACAACGCAGTCCGTTCAGATTCCAGATTTGATTCCCATGTTGCCTTGGTTCTCGCTTACTTCAAATCAAAACAACAAAAAAGGCCCTCTTGATATACGGCAATGATACTCTCTAACAACGCCTGTTTATGCACAGAGATATACATTTCGTAACCTCCTTGGGTTTACACGCAATTATTTAAAGTTAGGCAAATGAGAAGCAAATCTGTGGTATTGAAGAGGATATTTACCATAGCCTACCCTTATTCTCTAAGATAAAACATGTAACCTAGCCATTCAGTTCAGATCCGAAGCCATCAGAACCATATCTTGTGCAGCGCCAAAAACTTTTTGTTGCCGGATCTTGTTTGACTCCATCCCCTTTGAACAGCGAGGAAAGTGCTTCTGGCCAAGTACGTGGGCTACTCCGTCGCACAGAATTATCAAACAAAACCAAATTCACGCGAATGGCCCCGTCAAACTCTCTTTGATTCACAGCCATCTCCGTCACCGTCACCAGAGGGGAGAGAGGGAATACGGAGAGAAGATGAATGTTGCCTACAAATTCGTCCTTGTCTACGGCAACAATTGTCCTTACACACACACACACACACACACACACACACACATATATATATATATATATATATATATATATGAGCGAGTAAGTGTGCATTCAGTTACCTAGCTTTGTCTTATATAATGCTGGTTTCTATTAAGTCTATCTATTCTGATGGTTCTATCTTTAAAAAAAAGGAAGCTAACAATTTTAAGCGAAATAAGATTTACTGATTTCCATCATTTAGTTTTAATTTTTTTGCATGAATGATTCTTCCAATCCTCTCTGCAAATTGTCTTACCTCTGTTGTTGTAACCTGTACTTTTAGGAGCGGGTCATCAATCAATTGCCGAAAGATCGCCAAATGACCCTCTTGGGAAAATATTGCTTTAAGTAATTCTGGTTTCTTGAGAATTAAAATTTTGGAAGAATCTTCAATCTTTTTCACGATCTGTCTATCGCTATATTCATTAAACATTTCATATTATTTATCACCGTTCTCTCGGTATATCCGTCATTCTATTCATTAAACTTTCTTTTTATTTACCAGCGCTTCCTCGGTATATCGATCATTCTATTCATTAAACTTTCTTTTTATTTACCAGGGCCCCCTCGGTATATCCATCATTCTGTTCATTAAACTTTCCTTTTATTTACCAGCGCTCTCTCGGTATATCCATCGTTCTATTCATTAACCCTTCTCTTCATTTAGCAGAGCCAAATAGTATCACAGATGAACCCGATGCTCGGATGCTAGCCGGTGCTGATGACCGCTATCTGTTAATGTATTAATTAACACAGTACTGCAGCTGGCAACACGGTGGCGCGTGAATGGGGAGGGAAAATTTGTTATACTAACTTTTCAAGTAGAGAGCAGCTAACGTAACTAGAAAATCAGCATTCTAAAACTGGAGTTCGAACTCAGGACTCTAGCACAGGTGGAAAATATGTAACAGACAATCACGAATCAGATTTCTGTTTTAGCGCATAAATACTAACCGATCGAGTTTCTCTTTGTCAGACATTTTAAATGCATATCTTAATTATTTTACAGGCATAATTTTTAATAAGTTTTAAGAATTTTAACCGTTTGAATAATAATAATAAAAAAAAAAACATTGATTTTTGTGGCTCCAGCAATGATCAACTCCCTATTATATTATTTGCCAGGCGACAAAACTTCTCTCTGGATTAATTCCTGCCAAAGACGAAAGGGATTCGCAGATCAAACCAGAACACTACGAGCATTTATACATTTTTGCACTAATGTGGAGTATTGGAGCCTTTCTTGAAGTCGATGATCGTATCAAGATGGAAGAATGGCTTCGATCTTCGTCCGAAATCAACCTTGACCTGCCTGATATTCCAGCGAACTCGGAAAGCAATATGTTCGATTACCTTGTTGCTGCCGACGGTTAGTTATTTTGTTTTGTTTTTCTAAAGACAAAAATGTTCTCTGTGATCTGTAAAAATGACAATTATGTCATTTTTACAGTTCACAAAGAACATATTTTCTTGCATAAATGTGTCAATAAATTTGTTGAAGGCAAATGGACAGAAGTTAAAACGTGAAAGCTTAAAAAGAATCAAAACCAATCCATTCTTCTCGGTTCCACCGTGGTAAATTGACATTAAACCAACGTACAGCCGTCAAAATGAATAAAATTCCAAATTCGCATGTAAATTAAACAGACAACAAAACTGAATAACCATATTTGATGGTTAAATGACCCACGGGCATATTAAAGGCCACTCCTCTATTTAAACGGGCTATTTTTTACAGTGAGGTTCCACACGGGTTGGTTAGATTTACTTACGCGCTAATGCCCTTGGAAAAGTTATGAATCCACGTATTCATCCAGCAACTATGGGTTAATTAGTAGGACCTGTACCAGTAAACAGTTATTATCTCCCCGAGAGATGTTGATAAGTCGTAAAAAACAAAAAAAAAATCAATCTAATCTAATCTAATCTTACTCGATTAAAGAGATCTGTCTGCAATCTTATTTAATGAAGAGTTGGATTAAGACGAATTAATGACTTTAATGTGTACTGCAAGGAACAGGCAATTAATCCCTTTATACAATTCCTTTCGGCATGTTTTTCAGTAAAATCTTACAATTTATCCTACCAGCTATGGATTAATTAGTATGACCTGTATCACTGAATCATTATTATGTCCAAAAAATCTTACAATCTAAATATATATATATATATATATATTTGTATATTTAGGCAGCAATCCTTCCTTTATGCATGTTTCATTAAAAACGACAGACAAGGTACTACGGTTGAGCTTTTTATTTAATTTTTATTGTGTTCTGACAAGAGCTTTCTTTTCTGGACAAGAATAAAAAATAAAAAAATAAAGAATAAAAATAATGGAAGCTCTAATAATAAAAAAAGAAAAAGCCAACTCTTAACAATATTAACTATGAACAAAGCCACAATGTGCTAACCGTATTCGGAAACTAAAAACATCACTAACACCCACTGAACATACACAGAACACACACACTCTACTAAGCTGATAATTGAATCATCCTTGATAATGGCTAAAGGTATAGCCAGCGCTCGGAAATACAGAACATTCGGACAGTTCTTACACTCTTTGTCCAGAAAAGAAAGCTCTTGTCAGAACACAAGAAAAATTAAATAAAAAGCTCAACCGTAGTACCTTGTCTGTCGTTTTTTAATGAAACATGCATATATATATATATATATATATATATATCTGTGTGTGTGTTTGTGTGTGTGTTTGTGTGAATATATATATGCATGTATATATATGTATGTATATATATTTTATATGTATGTACATATATATATATGTATGTACATATATATATATATATATACATATATATATATATATGTATGTACATATATATATATATATATATATATATATATATATATATATATATATATGTGTGTGTGTGTGTGTGTGTATGTATTATAAATATATATACATAATTAATAGAAATAGCAAGTATATCCTTAGCTGATTGCTGTTACATTCAGCATCCCGACTAGGAGTTTACTAGACGGACTCTCCAGCAATCACTTCGTCTACTTGTCAGAGTGTATGAATTGTTAAAATTTAGTATATTGATGGGAGAAGAGGACACAATATTGCAAATATTTTGTTTGTAAAAACAGAGAAGTCAGAAAATCACTTTGCGCTTGAAACTGACAGTCATTATACAGTGTTTATTTTTATGGCCACACTGCTTATATCTACAGTTATATATATTTTCTGTTTGAATATATAGGAAGAGGAGTTATCATTATTTTCATTATTTATATACGGACTAGTTTCCTTATCTTTGTTGTCGTTATCACAACGTTTCGACTATTGTGCGCTGCTACCTTGATCAGGTGTATGTCGAACTGTGTAACTTAGAGAGAATTTCGAACTGAACCATTTAAATTTATCTATGGGGGTAGAATGTTCTCATTTCACTGCCCATATTTAGGGTATCTGGTCTACTCCTTATTTTAGCACTGCTCATTTATTACTCGACCCATTTCCAGTGAGTCCAAGTGCACACTGCCCGGCCCAGGGATTGAACGCACAATTACTATATCACTAGATTCAGGAACTAATGCTTTAAATCCACTAGACAACACTCCGCATGTCAAAGATGTGAATAATTAAATATAAATAATATATTTATATAATATATATATATATTTTATTTTCAGGATCCTGGGTCCACTGGGATAGCCGCGTGGAAGAATACATCTACCCAGCAGATTCCACACCTGAATATGCTTCCATTTTGGTGCCAATGGTCGATAATGTACGGACAAACTTTCTGATTGATACAATCGCAAAACAACAATTGGCTGTCTTATTAATAGGCGAGCAAGGAACGGCAAAAACAGTCATGATAAATACTTATATGAAAAAGTACAACATGGAAGTTCACCTGTCCAAAGCCTTAAATTTCTCTTCTGCAACAACGCCAATAATGTTCCAGGTATGGCTGATAATTCCCATGTTATTCCGTTGATAAGAAACATGTCGCTATCAGTTCTTCCATTCTTGGTGAAATAATCTTTTACGTTATGGAGTCGAATTTCTGTTGATGACGATGGGCGTCAAATGTCTAGAGGAGTGGTCCGGAAAACATTTTTTTTTCTAAATGTCGATCTCCATTGGTTCCAAGAACATATTTTTTCAGCTTCTCCGCATCATTATGAGATCCCTTCTCTACTGACATTAATGGTACAGCAAATTCAAAACAAATAACTTAATTCTATAAACACGCATATGTATTTCGGCTTTTTCTTCAATACCTTCTTCAAGATCTTGTACATCCGGGAAACCTTCATAAAATTTCGAACTGAACCCTTTATTTAATCTATGAGGAATATCACGCATTTCTTTGTTATTGCTTTCCCAATTTCCGCGTCCAAGTTTGCACTGCCCGGACAAGGGATTGAACTCAAAATTACTGTCTCCAAATTCATGAACCAATGTTTAATCCACTAAGTGATTTTAATTATTCTTTCTTAATCTTACAATAAAAAATGGATCCCAACATTTAAGACGATTTATTTAATATCTATGTCAGCATTTTGCCTTCTGGTATATATTTAAATATAAATTTGGCCACTTCGGAGTGGTACAATGGTTAGCAAGCTTGTCTCGGTAGATCAATTACAACTAAATGATAAGTTCGATCGACACTGGGTGCCCCATACTTAGAAAATCATCATATGTAAATATAAATTAATCTATCTACTGGATACAAGACAAATAGCTCAAGATATAGAACCGTCCTGGGTATGATGATAAACTACATTCGCGTCCTGGGTAAGACGATAAACTACATCCGACAGTAAGGCCTCTGTTCAGGAGGTTTTGAGGAACGTGGAAGCACTTCTTAATTGCTGGTGTTCCTAGGTCCACCACGACCCGGGATGGTAGCACCTGTTAGGATCCCAGCTATGGACAAATAGTTAACCCCAAAACTGGGGTCAGGACACTATAAAAGTGTAAAAGTAGTTTGTAATACCAGCAATAGATTTTTTGAGGAAAAATTATTACCAGCAATATATTTTTACCAGCAATACATTTTTGGAAATATACCAACATCAATAAAATTCTTTCTAGCATTAAATAACCCATTGAATTTGTTATGTTGTAAAACTAACCAAAACAAACCAATATATACTGAGATAGTGTTATCGTCCAGGTCCTTGTACCACGGTGATGGTCCAAGGTAGAACCAATAAAGAAGAACTCGAACACGGATATGGAATAACACAGATATATTACAAACAGGAATATATACAGAGAAGTAGAAAGTGTTAGTACGAAACAATCAGGTTTAGTTGGGAGAACAATGTAGTCTCGACCAGTATCACTATTCCAATGTCTTGTAGTAGTTGTCTGAACGCGACTCTGTTTCGGACTGCCTCTGACTCGACTCTTGACTCGACTGACTGACTCGCTCTGACTCACTGACAGACTCCTGACGGACTTCACTCCAGACTTCAGACTGAACGGTATTTAGTCCCCCCCGCCACGAGGGCATCATGTGGTACATAGCCGGTTTAACGTGGGATCCCCGAGCCCGTAGGCTCGGCCAAAAATATGCCCAGTGAACCCGTATAAATGGGTTCAGGGTCGGTTTACCTCCCCGAAAGAGACTCCGCCCTTCGGCGTAGCCTCCTTCGTGTTCCTCCACGCCCGAAGGCAGAGAGTTCAACCGATCAGCCGGTCAGCCGGTCGCCCGACTTCGGACTGAACTCTCTGCTTCCTCTTGAGGAGCAGTATTTATTACGTATGGAATAGTCCATTATGTTATTATGGGTAAGGTCCCATAACACCCTCCTTCCGAAAATTTTGCGTAGCAGGGTTTTTTTAATATCTTTTTTTTTTTTATCTATTTCCAAAGGTTCAGTAAATTTTCTTTTTCTGGATGATTTTCTTGGTTCTGTCATTATTTGCGGTCTTGTTATATCGAATGTGTCGAAAATCGTGTCCAATAACTCTTCTTGAGGTGGACCATTAGCATCCTGTAGCGGTCTCTTCCTTATTTGGTTTACTTGTCTTCTGTGTGAGAATTCTTTTTCTTGAACTATGTACATCATATTGCCAATTCTGTTCTCAATTATCCCTTGTTCCCAGCAAGAGGTATTATTTTTGCATGCCTTAAAAAAAAACTTTTTCCCCTGCGAGGAATTTTTTTTTGATGTGTAGGATTGTGTTACTTGTTTTGTTTTACTTGGTAGTAATTTATCGAACGCTGATCTGATTTTCCTAGCAAACATCATGTCTGCTGGTGATAATGTTGATGGTGTCGCATTATTTGGCGTTATTCTATATACCTGTAGGAATTGCTGTAATGCTTTCTTCGTAGGCACATCGTACGCTTTTCCTAATGCTCTTTTGAGAGTTTCCACGAATCTCTCCGCTTGCCCATTTGATCTTGGATGGTAAGGCGGGGATTTTAAGTAAAACATACTTGATAGATTTCGCAAAACTCTTGGAAATCTGCTGACGTGAATTGCGTTCCGTTATCTGTTACTAAACAGTTCAATACGCCAAACCGACCGAATAGCTCGTGGAGGAAATTTATGGTCGTTTCTGTAGTAGGATTTTTGCACCGAAACACCTCCGGCCATTTACTGCAGCTATCAACTATGATTAAATAGTAGAACCCGTCAATTGGTCCTGCATAATCTGCGTGTATTCTTGACCATGGACGATCAGTTTCAGGCCAAGGCTTATGTATGATTGGCGGTGCTTTATCTGCTAAATTACGACCCTTGCACATTTCCACCATTTGAGAAATATTCTGGTCCATATTCTTCCAATATACATAGCTTCGCATTAGCGACTTCATTCTATTTTTACCCGGGTGTCCTCTGTGGAAATTCTTTAGTATCCGTTTTTGTAAAGTTTTGGGGATTACAACTCTTTTGTTGTAAAATAGCACATTATCGCATAGAGAAAAGCTGTCAGAAATTTTCTCATTTTTTTCTGCTATTTTTGCTTTTGTTTCATTAATAAATTCGTCATTTTTGGCTTCATTTATGTCTTGCAATGTGATTGGGAGGTTTCTGACTGTACAATATAGTACTGTTCTTATGTCTTCTTCCTTTCTAAGGGCTGCGATTACCGTATCTTCCAATGGCTCTGTCTTTGTTGGTATAAGTCTCGACAGACCATCCGCGTGACCAATTCTTTTCGTTGGTAAATATTCCAATCTGAAATTATAGTTCAGAGAATCGTTCTCCATCTAAGTAGTCTATTTGCCGTGTACACTGGTAGACCTTTTTTTGAACCAAAAATCTTTTATTAACGGTTCGTGATCCGTCTGCAGAGTAAAGTGTCTACCATAGACATATCTATGGAATCTTGTTACTGCGAAGATAATTGCTAGAGCTTCCTTCTCAATTTGTGAATAGTTTTTCTCCGCTGGTAGAAGGGTTCGAGAAGCATGTGCGATAGGTTTTACTGTCCGATCTGGCATTTTATGTAATATACACGCTCCGACACCATAGGCGCTTGCATCACTTGCTACAATAATCTATAGTTTAGGATCATAGTGTGCCAAAAATAAATCCGATGTTAATGTCTTGATTATTTTTTCAAAGGTTTCCTGGCATTGGTCTCTCCACTTCCAAACTTTTTCTTTCTTTAGCAGTTCGTTCAGTGGTGCGCGAAGTTTATGTATTTGAGGTATGAATTCCTGGTAGTAATTCACTGACCCAAGAAAACTTTGTAGTTCTGTTATGTTCTTAGAAACTGGCATCTTTTTTTTTTATTGCTGTAGACCTTTCAGGGCCTGGACGTGTACCTTCTTGGTCTATTATAAAGCCAAGATATTTAATTTCCTTCATGAAAAGATCACACTTATTTTCTTTCACTTTGAATCCGTAGCTTTGAATTCTCTTAAACACTTCTTGTACATGTTACCAGTGTTGTTCAACGCTTTCGCTATTAATCAATATGTCATCCAGATATGCTATTGTGTATTCTAGTCCTGCCAGCATCGTATCCATTGTCTGCTGGAAAATAGCCGGCGATACTTTAATTCCAAATGGTAGTCTTTGGTAACTGTACAATCCCTTGTGTGTGTTTATGCATAGTAGTTTTGAACTTTCTTCATCGACTGGAATTTGCAGGTAGGCCTCACTTAGATCAATGTTTGAAAAATATTTTCCGCCATTTAATTTAGTGAATACTTCTTCAGGACTAGGTAGCGGATAGTGGTAGTCCTTTATTGCTGCGTTCAATCCTGTAGAAAAATCAGCACAAACTCGAATTTCTCCTGATTTCTTTTTAACGTAGACCGTCGGTGCGGCCCATTTGCTGTACTCTACTTTTTTCAATCTGCCCGTAGTTTCGAGTCTAGATAATTCTTGGTCAATCTTTTCTATTGACGCAAACGGTACTCTCCTTTTTTTCTTGAAAATAGGTTCAACGTTATCCTTTTGATATTAGAAAATTAGAATATTAGAAAATAGTTTGAACGTTAGAAAATTAGAATATTAGAAAATAGGTTGAACGTTATCTTTTATTTTGATATTAGCTGCCATTTTCTTGCATCTTCCGAGACCTGCCGAAAATACTTCGGGGAAACTCGTTTTTAGTTTTTCTTTTAATTTGTCTGCCTCGGTTGATAAGCTTTTTACATTCTAGCAGTAGGTGCTAATAGGTAGATCCCACTATTCGAATTTTTGCATCCAGCCTGTCCCGAATAGGTTTTCGGTATTTCTTAAGACGTACGTTAAACGTTACGTTTGTGATTATTTCACCCTCGAATTTTATCTTTCTCCCCGTAACTGATCGCGCAATTTTATCCGTTTTTAACATGACAGGTTTGTTAAGTTTTCTCCATGTTTGTAGATTTATGATAGTTAAGTGTGAGCCAGAATCCAGCTGTAACCTAACTTTTCTGTTTTGCATTTCAACTTGTACATATTTTCTTATATTAGTCTCATCTGTTTGGTCGGTCCTCGTAATTCTTATTCTGTTTTCTTTTCTAGACTAACAGTGAGAACTTTTGTGACCAGTTTTTTTTACATGATAGACAAGTTTTAGCACAATATGTACAGTCTTTAACCCAATGCCAAGACCCACAACGATAGCATGGACTTGGTGGTGGTTTCTTTTTATGTTGCTTATAATTAGAAAATTTTGTTTTTCTGTTCTTGAGGCGGGAAAATCAGTTCGGTTTGTTTGTGAGGTGGGAAAATTTGTTTGTCTTCGTACTTTGCGTATGTATGTTATGTCAGCTTGTTCTATGTCTTTAGAGTCTTTTTTACGCTGACGCATCTCTGGCAGTCTTCGGCTAGTTTTTGAAGTGTCAGATCTTGTTCATTTTCCAATTTAGTAAGTATTCTACGTCTCATTTCTGCGTCTTTGGTTGAAACCAGACCTTGGACGTAAATTAAGCATTTGAAGTTGTCAGCGCTGAGTTCCGATAATTTGAAGCCGTCACAATATTTATTAACAATGGATGCGAAAGTTACGTAATCTTCGCTATCCTTTTTTGTAAGGTTCATGCTTTTCCATCTTTTATGAAATAGTGAAGTATTATGGTTGAAAAGTTCCGTTAGCAATTTTATAGATTCTTTGAATGTTAACTCGCTTGTTTTTCTAGGGAGGATATAATCAACGATTTTGGTATATTCGCCTGTGCCTAATTTTCTTAATAAAAGGCCTACTTTACGTGCGTCTGACCAATCTTTGCAGTCAAAATCATATAGATCTTCATACCTTCAGAAGTAATTTGCAAAAGTTTTATCTTCGTCGGGTGTTATATAAGTATATATATATATATATATATATATATATATATATATATATATATATATATATATATATAAAAAGGCTCCAACACTAATATTCCATGGTTATAATTTATTACATTGGAATCGTAATCACCATCCAATTTATCAGACCTACAAATATAAAAGGAAATCGGAAAAATGTAACTATATATATGTAACTATATTATATTTTCCGATTTCTTTTTGAATTTGTAGGTCTGATAAATTGGATCGTGATTACGATTCCAATGTAATAAATTATAACCATGGAATATTAATGTTTGAGCCTTTTATATTATATTCTTGCACTTTCCTGGACACTGAGTTCTACCTGGATTCTATCTTCTTGGATATATATATATATATATATATATATATATATATATAAATACATAAATATATATACATACATACATACATACATACACACACACTCATATATATATATATATATATATATATTGTTCTCCAAAATGTATACACAGTTCAGAAAATGGGAAACTTGTATAGATATTGTAATACTAAATTCAGACATCACGAGATTAATACAAGTTACCTTTTGGACTCTACAATCACAAGGGATGCTCAAAATGGTGACCTTTAGCTTCCAAACATTTATTAGTATTTATCCTTGTGAAACGTTAGCGTCCAGTGGGATTGCTGCACGTGCATTTTAAATTTCTTGTCTAACGGCCACAAATTTAGTCATTTTTCTGCGATAGCCTTTTGGGTAAAAGTCTAAGAACTGCGAAAGACAAGTTTTTTCGCTCCTGAAGTGTGTATACATTTTTGGGGGCGAACATTTCTTTTGTACTCGAAATCCTAAATTCTGATCCTTGGCACCTTTGAAGACAAACACATCCGTGTCCATGGAGGATGTCATCACAAAAGGTGCAATAGTATGGCAATACGAACAAGCATTGTCGGAAGGGAGAAAATGGCAGGTCATTTGTGTGTGTGTGTGTGTTTGAAAAAGAGAGAGAATGAGAGAGAGAATGAGACAAGAGAGAGTAGGAGAGCGAGGCAGAACGGGAGACATTGATGGATTATTATAACATTATCTCCCGTGTTTGGCTCGCTTCGGATAGACAACAGTTTTCTACCGGCTCCATTCCAAGTGTCGGTCACAGACGTGTCCCGAAACGATAGAAAGATAGTTTCTTGCCATATCTGAAAGCATTCTAGCCTTGATCGTAGGTGGGTAATTCAGTTAGTTTCTGAATCGATGCATTTTTTTTAAAGTAATTTTATTCTTTTCATTTTTATTTTATTTTACACCGATAGAGCTCAATGGAATCATATGTGGACAAAAGAGTGGGCAACATTTTCGGTCCCCCGACCGGAAAGAAGATGACAGTTTTCATTGACGACATCAATATGCCAATCATCAACGAGTGGGGCGATCAAGTAGCCAATGAGATTGTTCGGCAGTTGATGGAAATGAAGGGCTTCTACAGTCTTGAGAAACCAGGAGACATAATCAACATTGTCGATATGCAGGTGAGCATGACATGTTTAGCAAATTGGCATTAAATTTTATTGATTGCGATCGGCCCTGAATCATCGTCGTTCTGGGTACAACGATAAACTACATCCGGCAGCAAGGTTTCTGATCGGGATATTGGAGCTTTTGAGGAACATGGAACCATCTCTTAATTGATGTTTTTCCCATGTCCACCGTCACCTGGGGTGGTAGCACTTGTTAGGTCCTCAGCTATGGGAAAATAGTTATCGCCCAAACTGGGGTAAAAACTCTATGAAAGTGTGAACATACATTTTTATAGTAAAAATACCAGCAATACATTTTGTAAAAAAATATTAACAGCAATATATTTTTTTAAAAAAGAATATTACCAGTAATACATTTGACTCTCAACATAAACCCTCTTTACAAAAATACGTCAATAAAACCTGATCTACAAACTGATTTCTTACAAAAAATACATATTCTATTCATACGAACCTATTCAAAAAATATTGTCGGCATTTAAATAACCGATTGACGTTTTGATATGCCGTAAAACAAAATAAAACAAGCCAAACTTTAATCATCCTAAAGTTTTATTAACGTTTTTATTCTATATTAATCAGCATACGAAATTATCTATATAACGTTCCCCCTTTGAAAAACGCGCCTCGTCTTCATTTTGACCTCCTATACTGTTATGAATAATACGTACTTTGTAGCGATAATATTAATCAATAAAGAATCTCTATTGTTGTCGTTTTGGCTGACAATCTTCTTTTTTAATCATTTCAACTCATGCAAAGCAGGAGAACCATTAAGGCAAAAGGGTTTACTGAGTGAGAAAGAATCAGGAAAAAAAACATTATTAAAGAGCAGGAACAATGAAACAATAATCAAGAAGACAGTAGATAACGATTGACATTGTATTTACATTTTTGAAGATGAATGTTGGTTGGAAAGCATGAAGCCGGAAGAGAGTTCCACAGGCGAGAAGTGAGAACAATAAAAGGCAAGAAATCAAGAAGACAATACATAACGATTGACATCGCATTTAAATTTTTGAAGGCCAAAGCTGACTAGAAATCATGGAGCCGAAAGAGAGTTCCATAAGCGAAAAGTGCGAGAAAAGAAACTGTTAGCATAGAACTTACGGTGCCATCTACGATTCATAAATTGATTAGATTTTGTTGCCAATTAAAATTCTGAGTTTAAAATTTATAAAATTTAGGTACCATAGCGGAGAGTTCAAAATAATTACCATGAAAATACTCATAGAAGAGGTAGAGGAAAGTTACATTACGGCGGTGGAAGAGTGATGAAGCTGAGATGTCAGTTCAGAGCAAATAACATTGATGATTGTTTTTTGGATTTGAACAAGAATCTCTAAATATATAACAGGAGCATTGGACTAGATGTGGAAGCAATATTCAAAGCAAGGGCGAATGGTAGACTTATAAATATGTAAGATAGATTCTAGCGAGAAAAATTGTCTAACACGATGGGGTGAACCAACTTTCTTACCAACAGATCTATCAGTTGATTCAACGTAAACCTTCCACTTCATGTCAGACGAGATTTTTAGACCGAGAACGTACCACGAGTCATTCTCCAGGAGTTTAGCCTCGGCCATGCTGATGTGAGGCAGAAAGGGTAGCTAAGATGATTAATAGAGAAATATTCGTTTTGGAAGCGTTAAAGTTAACAAGCCATTACTTGCCCCCATGTTAACAGGAGATTGTAGGTCATTTTTGAGATCAGTTGCCAATTTAACAGGAGTAAATATTTGTGTAATAAAAAAAAAATGTGTAAATGCAACAACAAAAAAATCCGCTAGCGTTCAAGGAGTTAATCAACAAAACTTGAACATTTTTAAGTTTTTTCAGTTTTTCTACACGATCAAATTTTGCCAATCGACTATGGTAGTTTACAAACTCCGACTACAATATGGCCACTACTTCATACAAAGTTTTTCTAGCGTAAAATCCGTAGAAGTGTAAAATAAAGTAAATATCTTTTCTCCACAGATACGTTTCAGAAGAAGAAATAAATGAAAGCAAATATTCCCCATTTGCTCGACTTATTTCTAGAAACGCGCCAGTTCTTTTCACCATTTAAATGTAACGCATCTAAAATGTGTCGAATGGGTCGGTCAAACCGCGTTAGTAACAACAAAAGCGACATAAGTTCAGTCGGCCTAAAAGTCCTTTCAATGGTAATGACTCTTCTTAAAATTATTGACAAAATATAGTTTTTACTTAAATATACTGCACCGTCACCTGGTAAACGCACAGCTTTCGTATTTTTTCCTTTCAGTTTTTGGCTGCAATGATCCACCCAGGCGGAGGCCGAAATGACATTCCACAACGTCTGAAACGACACTTTGCTATTTTCAATTGTACTTTGCCTTCAAATTCTTCCATTGACAAAATCTTCTCCGTAATTGGCCTGGGCCATTTTTGCAAGCAAAGGAACTTCTCAGCCGAAACAATCGACTTGGTAGCGAAACTGATTCCATTAACTCGAAGACTTTGGCAACTTACAAAGGTTAGTGGTTCTTCATGTTTTGTGATTTTGACTCATTGGTTATTAATGGTATTTTTATTTTAAATGGTCCTGTTAGATATTTCGCTCTAGAATAATAGTCATGCTGGCATGCCCGGAAGATTATTTGTACGACTCGTGGCAAAGTTTTGAGGTTAAATAATTTTTCAAAGAAATCCCTAGTGTTTTTCCATAGAGTCTGTAATGTCTTCGGCGTATTTAAAAAAATAAAATACGATCAGCTTTCGATTTAATAAGCTTCATTATAACATATTTCAGAAATAAAGTATCTCACCAGAGAGTTAACATGGTATTAACCTTTTTCTTTTATACGCAATGGAATTTTGCATATAAAAAGGATCAGGATGTAGGCGATCATCGCACTCCACAACTTCCTATTTTTCGTTTCTTTACTTACAATCTCTCCCATTGCCTGTTGTTTTTTTTCTCGTTAGATTGGCTACTTGCTATTTCTCTCTGTACGTACTCTTGCCTTTAGTATGTCTTTTGAGTGTTAAATTCTCCATACTTTCTTTCCTCACAGGTGATTTCATTTCTAAAAAGTAGACGACGTGATGGTAAAGGAAATGTATATATAGGGATTAGCGTGGCGTCTAATTGATCACCATTTCTATTCTATCCTCTATGAATATACGGACCGCTATTCTCTACTCTATTAACTATACTCTTTCTCTATTCAGATTACTATACGGATTACTATTCGAGCGAGTATTATCGAGCAAGTACTATTAGTGCGAGTTATACTCGAAGGCGTCTGACACCAGTATTGTTCAACGGCGTTACTATAGTTGTATCTGCGATTATATAGTCTCTACTACAACGATTATTACGAACGTGACAACGAGTATTCGTTGACATTACAAAAAGTGGAAAATAGTGGTCGCTGACATCATAAAAATTTGGTTGAAAAGCAGGGCGCTGGAAGGGAGTTCCATAAGCGAGGAGTACGAGAAAAGAAACTGTTAGCATAGAACTTACGGTTACAATAGCCATTTCAATTGTAAAATGATGAAACCTTGCTGCCAAGAACTAGATGAAAAGTGCAAGAGAAGAAACGGTTACATCTAGCCAGCTCAACTGTAAACTGATGAAACCTTGATACCAGTCTAGTATTGCGCTTAAATTTAAGATGTCTAGGTACCATAGCGAAGAGCTCATAAAACAATTACCATGAAAATGTTTATAGAAAAGGCACGGGGAAGCTATGATACGATTGTGGGAGTGAAACTGAAGCTGGGCCGCCAGATCAGGACTAATAATATTGCTGATTCTTCTTTGGATCTTATCAAGGAGCTCAAGGTAAATAGCAGCAGCACCGGACTGTATGTGGCAGCAAGATTCTAAGCATAGATGAATAGTAGACTTACAGGTATGTAGGATTGATTCTGGAGATAAAGGTTGTCTCGCACGCACATTGAACCAACATTCAAACAGCTGATCTAACAATGGATTCAATACAGCCTTTCCACTTCATGTCAGCCGAGAACGTTATTCCGAGAATGCGCTATGAGTCATTTTCTTGGAAAATTCCATAAGCGAGAAGTGCGAGAAAAGAAATTGTTAGCATAGAATTTACGGTTGCACTTAACCAATTTTGCAGTAAATTGGTGAGACCTTGTCTAGAGTCTAGAACTGCGCTTGGTTGGTTATTTTGTTTTACGGCATATTAACCTCAGTGGGTCATTTAACGCCGACAATGTTTTGGAATGGATTTTAGCTTAGTTTGCTATCACACACACACACACACACACACACATATATATATATATATATGGTATAAAATGACAAATCGAAAAAAAATCTTAGATAGATTTTGCCGACGCGTTTCGTCTTCCAAGGCAAAAATGAAGTCGAAATGTTTTTGTTGTAATAGTTACATTAAAAAATCCAAATTTAAAAAGATAGACGCTTCTGTCTAAGCCTTTTTTCTGGTTTATGTAAATTACCTTTATAGTAAGGGATTTTTTTTCCATGTCGATAATATAGTTAAATTCCCAGATCAATTCTGTGGACAAAGATTGATATAAAATGAAAATTGGAAAAAAATCTTAGATTTTTCCGACGCGTTTCGTCTTCCGACTTTTTCTAGGCAAAAATGAAATCGGAATGTTTCTGTTATAGTTACATTAAAAAATTCAAATTTAAAAAGATAGACGCTTCTGTCTAAGCCTTTTTTTATTATATATATATATATATATACTAGGGTCATTCAATAAATAAGGTGAATTTTTTGGTATAAGGACTTCTAATACAGATAGAAGCTTACTTTTTTTTATTTTTCAACGTAGCCTCCCAGCACTGTCACACACTTTTCCCATCTGTGCACAAGCTTCCGTATTCCCTCAGCGTAAAAATCTCTGGACTGATGTTTCAGCCAGTCGCTCACAACACTTTTGTCTTCATCGTCACTTTTAAACTTCGTGCCTCTCGTGAACGCTTTCAAGGGACTAAACAAGTGAAAGTCTGAAGGGGCAAGGTCTGGGCTGTAAGGGGGATGAGGGAGCAGTTCCCAGCCCAGCTCATTGATGGTCTGCACCGTTTGGGCTGCTGTGTGAGGCCTTGCGTTGTCATGATGACTCCTTCTGACTGATGACCCCTGCGTTTGTTCTTTATGTCTTTCTTGACATGCCTCAGAAGTTCACAGTAGTTCTTCTGTCAGACTGAATGAGGTCATTGACTGATTCGATCACCCCAGGAGACCTCACTTCTGTAGGCCTCCCAGGCCTGTCTTCATCCCCAACACTGCTCCGTCCTTCTTTAAACAATTTAGCCCACTTGTAGACATCTTTTGACTGAAACATGTGGCACTATACAGAGTTGACATTCTCCTATGAATTTTAACTGGTTTGCACCCTTTAGCAACTAAAAACTTGATAACTGACCGCTGTTCAATCCTGGAGAATGCTTCTTGGTCGGCTATCTTTGTTAATCGCCAAAACTCTCAAAGGTTTTTTTTTTAATCTGCAAAAGAAATTAAATCCATGTGAAAAGGAAGTAAAACAAAAATAAAATAAAATAAAATTTCTATCTGTATTAGAAGTCCTTATACCGAAAGATTCACCTTATTTATTGAATGACCCTCGTATATATATGCAGTACTGTTCAGCCTCTTATATTTTTGAGTACATTCCAATTGCTTTTATAAAATTTAGTATTTAGTATTTAGTTATTTCCATAAAGATTTTCTTCAAATTACTTGTTTGGTAATATTGTTTCCGCACTTGATTCAAATTTGTACACTCAAGCAGTATATGTTTAACTATGAATCTTTTTTTTTTGGCATGTAGTAAGAACTGCGCTTAAATTCGAAAAGGCTAGATACCATAGTGAAGAGCTCATCGAAACAATTACTATGAAATTTTTTACAGAAAAGGCAAAGGGAGGCAACCTTACGGGGCCGTGAAAGTGACTGTATCCAAGACGTCATACCCAAAGTTCCATTTCTATGTAGGACAAGGACCCATGTGAAAACAAAACGAAGCAATACAAAACATCAACATAAAAGCGGTCATTTATTTTCTTCCAAACTAATATTTACAATTCTTTAAAATGGCTTTTATCTGCTGTGAACCTTCAGAACATGAGCGATCATGGCTCTCCACAAATCCTCGTCTTTTTTAACTCTCGGTCAGTTTTGTCTTTTTGCTATCTTTCCTAATCCCTGTTCTACCAACTATTTACTCATTTACATATGTAACATATTTCCTGTGAGTGTCAAATTTTCTAAGCCCTCTTTCCTCATAATATACCCTAGAAGTTTCAACTGTCAGTTTTCAAGTGTAAGTGTAGTTTAAGTTTATTAAATTTAATTTTTTTTTATATTGTCCGGTAATGTATATTTTCTTCAATAATTTTTACACTGAACTTGTAAAATTACCTCAGATTATATTCGGATTTAACGGACTTTTGAAATTAAGATAAATATTCAAAAATATTTAGTTTAGATTTAAACAACTGTGAAAAGGCTTTCGACACAGAAATAAAATGCAAGAAATAAAGAATGTAGATATGTGTGTAGGGGAGGGAGAGAGAGAAAGAGAGAGAGAGAGGGGGGGGGAGAAGTCATTTATTTATCAGTCACTAGATGTCTCTCCTCTTCGACATGACGCACAGACTCGTTGACCTCAACTAGACTACTGATATCAATGTAAATGATTCCTTTTAATAGGCGGCCTTTTCACAAAAAATATTTATATATTTATCGCTGAAATAGTTCCATGTAAAACACAAACTATTCGATAACTGATACTCTACTCATACGACACCTACTTTCAACTTGTCTTCTTTTTTTGTTTTGTTTTACAGCGAGGTACACACTTTACAAGATCAAGAGGGGGCAGTCAACCTAGAGAGCCAATTTGTGTATATAGGAGCGGAAGTTAACGGTTAATACTAGCTTTGAACAGGTTAAGATTATAGTGATCGGGGAAACATCCTGTTGGGAGTCGGTTCCGCAGTGGTTCGCTTGAAGAAGCTGTTGGAGTGGAACTTGCTTCACACCGATGAAATACGGGGGGAATGTGGACGGTTTGTCACTATGTAAGTGGCATAGCGCGTTCGTGCTCGACGGGACCAGGGAATGTAGTTCGTCCGAACGTGGGGTTGAAGGGTCGAGAATATTTCGTTACCCACAAAGACTCGGAGACGCTCATGAACTCTATCAAGGCTGAAGTGTGATATCTGGGCAGTTCCCATCCAAATATGACAGCAGTGCTCCATATTTGGCCTAATCTGGCTCTTGTAAAGGTAAAGGATAACAGTAGGAGTCAGGTACTTACGTACAGGGAGCCGGCCATTTTATCCGCATACATTGCGTTCAGTTTTAAATTGCAACAGATACTGAAGTAGTGGCTTCAGTGAGTTTGGGCTGTAACGCATTCGGGGGTTAACAAGGGTTGACTGTTTGGAGTATAAAACTCTCCATACCAGAAAGGATCCAATCAGTGACAAGGGCAGCAGTTTTTGAGGTAGGATGCTTGAAGGAGGTTGGAAGGACAGCTGCCATCATGTAGGATTGAAACCTGTTTCAATCTGGTTTCGCATAGCGAAAAATCGTTCTACGAAACGGTACATCAGGGTATGCCTTAAGTTTGGTTTCAATCTGGACATTGATTAGGGAATTGTCTGACGAGTCTAGAGGAGGTAAAACTTTTGATTTATCAAGGCAGGAGGTTAGAAAGAGGTTGAAGTTCTCATGATATCCCGTCGTTTCCGTGACCCGGGTAAGTTCTCCGATGATCTGGATTAGTTTAAAGGCGATGGAGAAGTCTCTGCAATATCTGCCTTCAACATCAGTGTTGTTGGAATAGACTAGCCACTCTTTATGATGGATATTGAAGTATCCGCAGGTATGAAAACTAGACTAGGGGAACAGAATGAGGATATTGTCAATCTTTACAGATATGCGTCCGAAGATTACCGCCCCTTTCGTCCTGAGTACAGTAGAGAGCAAAGGCAAACGTGGCACTATGAGTAAGTGCCACGCGGAAACACATATACGGGAGATCGGGTTCCACGTGTTTTCGCATCCCTGCTGCAGGAAACTCCTCCTTGGTGTACGCTCTGAGTCCGTAGCTGTGGCGATTTAGGTGGTCACGTTAGACTATGAGAAGTGATCAGTCCGGGGCTGAGAACATCCCAAGTACGCTTGAGGCGTTGATACCGGTTTCAGAAAGTAGAAGGATGTGTGGTTTTTTTGGCTGGTGGAAGACTTAGGCAAATAGACTAACACACCCGCAAGAGTCGCGTGTATAGATACACTGAAAAGAGTCGTCCAGAGACACAACCGTAACAATACCCTTCAACATGGCATCGAGAGGCCCCACCGGAGACTATTGCACAGTTCAGAAACCATTCACAAAATGGCAGTACAGTTGCTCCGATATTATGCACTTGCTGATAGGATAGCCTCCTTCGGAATTACTCGAAGGTTCGGATCCCTGACTATTAGGCGGTAGACGTCAAAACCTAGAAAACGTTTACTTCAACACCCAATCAAACCAGTAGAGAAAATATATGCGTGATGCTTCTTGGGTGAAAACATCTTACCAGTTCAAGGTCTACAGGCACCGAAACAAGTTCACTCATGTACTTGAGGACTAAGAGACCCAATGGGAAAAGTTATCTGTTCAAGAGTAAGAGGAAAAAAGATTAAGGTTTACCAAGGAGAAGCATTATGGATCGGAGGAAGGGAATATGGATCGGAGGGAGGGATTATGGATCGGAGGGAAGGATTATGGATCGGAGGAAGGGATTATGGATCGGAGGGGGATTATGGATCGGAGGGAGGGATTATGGATCGGAGGGCGGGATTATGGATCGGAAAGAGGAATTATGGATCGGAGGGAGGGATTATAGACAAGGGGTGTGAAACAACTATAAATTTTTAAGGTTTTAAAGGTTTATCTTAGTATAAGTCGTAGTATCCACTTATTTTAGAAAGAGGATAGACTCCAACGTCAGTTACCCACGCTAGCAAAAAAATCACACAAAATACTTGGGCCTCAAGAATTAAACGATAAATTATCATGAAGGTAATTTATGCAGACGTTAACATGCGTATATATATATATATATATATATATATATATATATACACACACACACACACACATATATATATATATATATATATATATATATATATATATATATATATATATATATATATAGTGGTACTCGCTTGGAAAAACCTTGTAGTTGAACAAACCAGTACCCAAGGAAAAATGTGGAATAAAAAAAGAACATGAAATTGAGGCGAAAACAATCGTCCAGAATTCAAGCTCAGGGTTCAAAGAAAAAAACCTCCAAAATGAGTAAAGTAACTATGTTAAGTGCTCAATACATTAAGTAGAGCAAACCTAATATAGACCTAAAGAGCCAGTTAAACCTACCCAGGTTTCACCTAAACGAATCGTCAGTTACCCTGACGATCCGTTTAGGTGAAACTTAGGTCGGTTTATCTGGATCTTTAGGTTTATATATATATATATATATATGTGTGTGTGTGTGTGGGCCTACTGTGCCAAATGTTAACAGAAAGTTTTAAACAAATAATTAAGTTCAATAAACAAAGTAAAGTGAAAGAAAAAGGAAGAAAAAAAAGCGAACAATAAAAAAAAATCATTACAGTTGCCAACATATATTTAAGATAAGCAGACTTGGAAGACGCACCCTAATACCGGAAAGAAATGTCTAAAAAAAAAAAGTCATTCTCATACAACAACACATTCAGCATTCATCCCTCACATACTGGTACCATGTATTGTTTACATTGATCATTCGTCCGATTTTGTTTGTAGGGCAATGACAGACTAGTCAAGAGCAGAAAGGCTTTCGCTGCTTCTAGTAAACAGAACATGTTTAAGCTTGTGGCTCAGTTTATGGTCTTGGAAATACTTGTAACAGCTAGGTACTGAGGTTACATCATATAAAAAGCTGAATTAGATAGACAGCTAACATTATAGTGTAATGACTCAACATACAAATCCATGTCCCTATCAGTTAAACCAATTAAGTGACCGTCCAAGCTTACTTAAGTCCTACCGTTGCCTTACATTCGTCCTGGAAGACGCACACTATATATTATGAGTTGTGAATAGTGAACAAAAAATTGGAGAATTGACTTAACGGGAGATAAGTGAGACATACTGAAGAGGAATGGTGCGTGGAACTAAAACAATCTACCCCGGTGGACAAAAACAGTGTTCAGTTCGAAATTCCAATCACCTGAAGAGGCATGGTGTGTGGAACTAAAACAATCTACTCTGTTGGACGAAAATAATGGGTTCAGTTCGAAATTTCAATTACTTGAAGAAGTCCGGTGTTACAAAGGCCGAAACGTCGTGAATACGTCAATAAAGATGCGGATAACAGTCTCAATAATGTAGATAATTGCAATGCCTCATCTTAGAAATACAAACAGATATAATTGCTAGGAGTTATTGGGGGTATTTGAATAAACAAATCAAAGTGATTAATCGAGTCTAGACGAATACTCAAAAGAATACATAAAGCACTGGACTGCCTTTCCTCCTATATTTGGGACTCTATTGAGAATCGAACTCGAGCCGTTACGATACAACGCAAGCGTCATACCAACTGTAGCAACTGAGAAGAAGAGGTAACTAACTAGACTAGACTCGCAAATTCCGTGGTGTAACTCTACCAACTATACTTAACCCACTGGTTTGAGCCCCCAAGAGCCACGTCTTCGTTCCTCAAGCCTCTCCCTCCAAGCTGGTTCAAGCAAGGATATATAAACGATAGAAATTATTTGTTATGGTAATTTACCCAAGCACGCATGAACACTCCCAGCTATAAACAGGAGCAGGTACTGCCTTCTGGTAGGGTGAAGTTTCCAGCAGTCAGCTCTGACAGTCGAACCGTACATTCTTGCTGTAACACTCTTGTTTGTATATGTTTGTATTACTGTTTCTGTTAATATATTTGTTTAATTCAATTCCTCTCTTTGCGTCGTTATTTCTGGCCTTAACTAGGCCACAACATTATTATTAATGGAAAATATTTTGGAATCCTGGTTTATATATTTTTAAACTTTGTTTTATTCGCGGATTTGAAATATTTTTATGTTAAAATTCACCCAACTCGAGAGACACTCAAGTTAGAGTGTTAATGCTAAAATGGTTGCGATGGATGAAATGTGTGATATGAAATATGAGCTTTTCTTTTTGCATCTTGTAACTCTTTTCAAAATTATCCGTCCCTCAGGTAAAGATGTTACCCACTCCGGCTAAATTCCATTACGTATTTAATCTGAGGGACCTGTCACGAATCTGGCAAGGAATGATCAATGTCCAGTCGACCGTTGTCAACACCACAGACACACTTATGGGTCTTTGGAGACATGAATGCAGTCGAGTCATTGCCGACAGGTATGTGACTGTCAAATTTAATTTGATATTGTTAATTGGAATACAGAAACAAGAAGAGTGGTATCCTATCCTAAAAAAAAAATCGAATTATTGAATCTCCTCCGACTGCTCTCTCTTTATTCTCTTTCTCTCACTCTTTTTCTCACATACGTACATACCGTTTTACGATAAATCGCTTTCATTTTATTGTTTTTGGCTTTACTAGACCCGGGGGTCACTCGAGCTAGAGAGTTACTTTAAGGGGTATTTTATATGGGTAGGAGGAGAAGAAAACGGTTAACTCTTAAGTTAGAAGCCATAGTTAAGGTGCAAGATCAATAATACGATCAGAATTAATAAATTTTGCAATGAAAAGAAATATCAAAAATATGAAACAGCAACAATCATGCAACCAATTAAACAATATAGTAAAAAGCAAATCAAACTGCTAAGATGGCTGACATAATGAAATATGCGTACATCTGTGTTCCCCTTCACTGGAATATGATTGGCTGGTGTCCGTCATAAATACCGACGGACGTGTAGGAGAGTCAAGAGCCTTAGTCTGAGAGTCTAAGTCTATAACGACGCCCATTGGACTACGCCATTGATCTACACTTCTTACCTGCGACTACGACGTGTGCCAGTCGATTACTGCTACCGTATTCTACTTGGTTATAGTAGCCAAAACCACTTAGCTACTTCGTTCAAATATATCCCTTTCCGGGACATATCAATGGCAAAAGAATTCACAAACTAGGAGTTGGTGTTTGTACACAAAAGCAAGGTCAACCAAGCGAACACAGTATGTCTGTCTAATAGTTAAGGCAGATCTGGACTGAGCCATGCAAGCCGTCCTGTTTTATTGGCTAGAGAAAAATATCCCAGCATGCATTCTGTGTCCTGCAGTCTATAAGAGGGTGAGGGGGAAAACTTTTTCAATCATTTCCCTGATTGGGAAATCAACAATCTAGCGATCCTGGCAAAGAATGATCAATGTCCCGTCGACTGTTGTCAACACCACAGACACTTTTATGGGTCTTTGGAGACATGACTCTAGTCGAGTCATTGCCGACAGTTATGTGATTGCCACATTTAATTTGATACTGTTAATTGAAATACAGAAACAAAAAGAGTGCTATCCTATCCTAAAAAAAATCGAATTATTGAATCTCCTCCGCTTGCTCTCTCTTTTATTCTCTTTCTCTTACATCTGCCATTTCGTCTACAGTCACTTTCTCACAAACGTTATGCGGCTTCCCTCTGTCTTTTCTACAAATATTTTCATGGCAACTACTCTGACGAGCTACTTTCAGTGGTACAAAAACTGCATGAATTTAAACGTGCTACTAGGTTGGCATCTCGGTCCCACCCTTTCCCTGTCGAAATGGTTAAATATAGCCGTCTTCTACTCCAACAGCTTCTTCTATTGCACTTCCCGACAGTGGAACTCCTTTCCTCTTACTTGCTTCCGCGTTAGCGATAATCTTCACATATTAAAATCTAATGTCAATCGACGTCTTTTGATGTGATGATCTGATCCTCCTCCTTCTCTATATCCTTCCCTCAAAACAATCCTCTTTAATCTTGTTCTCACTCTTTGTAACCCCTTGCGTGCTAACAGCACGCCCGCCTGGCTTGGGGTGAAATGCTTAAAAAAAAATGTACATGCCGTTTTACGATAAATCGCTTTCGTTTTATTGTTTTTGATTTTACAGTAAAGTTCACGCTGTACAAGGCCTGGGGGCCACTCGAGCTAGAGAGTTACGTTAAGGGGTAGTTTATATGGATAGGAGCGGAAGATAACGGTTGACTTTAGACTTGAATAGATTAAGATTGTATTGATCGGCGAAACATCTTCTTGGGAGTCTGTTCCACAGGGCAATGATTCGCGGGAAGAAGCTGAGTGGAACTTATTTCCCGCCTATGGTATACGGAGGGAATGTGTGGGGTTTGCTACTATGCAAGTGACATGGGGGTCCTAGCCGTGAAGTAACGACAGAGTAGCCAGAAACTTACCCCATGCCGCCTGGGAGAGCGAGAAAGTTTGGAGGGTGGAAAATAATTTTTCTCAACAATACTCTTTTCGTTATTCTTAATTTCTTTTAGTCGTTTAATCATAAATAATGGTTTTTTCTTAGAATATTATCTAAAAGTTTACCCTGCTTATTTGAAGTTATTGTGGCCTTGTTAGGGCCTAGAAATAAAGACAAAGAGAGGAGTTGAGTTAAACAAAGATATTAACAGAAACAGTAATACAAACACATACAAACGAGAGTGTTACAGTAGGAATGTTCGGTCTGACTGTCAGAGCTGACTGCTGGAAACTTCTACCTCCAAAAGGCAGTACCTGCTCCTATTTATATCTGGGAGAGTCCATGCATGCATGGGTAAATTACCATAAGAGATAGATAGACTAGTCACAACACGTTACATTGCATCTAGACTTATGGTTCCGTTGTTAATATTTCGGTCTCTCACGTGGCATGACGTCACAGAACCGCACCATGAATTTACAACCTGCGTGTGCTCTTCTATGGCCGTTATTGTTGCATAGCAATTTTCTTTGTCAACATAACTGAATATCATCTTTGATGGTGAATATCTTTATTTAACTGTCCGTATGACCATTCTGAAGAATGGTTCATGTGAGCCGAACGCTTAGATCAAGGACCGGCTTAATGAAAAAATATCCAAATGTTGGAAATTTTTGTCTTTATTTTCATCCGAGAACAGCATAATTTGGCTTCAGGGTTGCCTACCGGAAATACATGCAAGGACACTATCCATGGTCAACATGACAGTATAAATAACCCTATATTATGCGACTGTTGATCAGAACAGCCTCTCTAAGCGCTACCAAAGAGTTCGGGCTCCTAGCGACCAGTCGGATGCAGCAGCCAGCAAATTACCAACCCGGTACGCTCATAATGGAAAGTCATAGCCACTGGTTAGTCTGATCACCAAAAAGTTAAGACAGTTAAATCATTGTGGCTTTCGTAAAAGAAAGAAAGAGAGAACCGGTAAACCATATTCTGAACAGGGAACAATACCTCAGCTTCTGTTCAATAAATATGGACGGAGTGAGGGTCAGACGATAGGTAAGCCTGTCGACTATTACCGTGGAACGGGAAAAAAACGAAAGAATTCACATTAAGTAATGACTTAATATAAGTTCTGATGTCTACAACCAACTAAAACTCGGGATGGCATTAGGTAATTAATTTTTCAGCATTGATAAATAACAGTGGGTAAATATATTCTAAATTAAAGAAGTTGTGGGGAGGGTCTGAATTAAAAAGTTTGACAATTAAATAGCAATGGAGAAAATAACGGCAGAGAAAGAAGGATAAGTGAAAGTATCACACACACACACACACATATATATATGTTATATATATATATATATATATATATATATATATATATTGCATATATATACTTGCGATGACCGATGATACTTGATTCAAAAATCGTACGACTCATACAGCAATCGCTATCACTTGACTTAAAATATTTTTGCCCTTCCTTGCCTTCAAAGAAGTGCCCTTTGCTGTGCTGATGTTGCTACATGCCTTGCTTCTTGCCTATCTAACACTGCGAATTTTTCTAAGATCTATACTAAGATACATTTATATCTGTTACGAAAAAAGAACTAAACAAAATAAACACAAAACGATCAGCTTTAAAAAGGACTCGTAACTGGAAAAACCGAATGAAAAAAGAATGTTAACAACAAATACTTTTTCACACCCAACCCAGTTCTGCGGAATCAGAATCAACGTTGAGTTTAAGCAAGCGAATGAGCCAATTGGAGTAAAGTGCCATGCAGATTTAAATTTTTCCCACTTGTGACGAATGCAGCTATCGATTTCTTTACATACTTAACATTCTTGTCAGACAGCTGTTGGCTCTCACGCTGGCCAATAGAATCTTCCTGCCTATTCGTGGCAGCCAGCTATTGGCTCTCACTCTGGCCACTAGAAAATGGCCGCAAACTACATGAAAATTGCCGTAGAAGCATGAAAAATCGATTATTTCCACTATCGACGGGAGTTGGGAAATGCAACGTCAGTCTTGGCCTTCGTGCTCACTTGGTGCATGTGCATGTAAATTTTGGTGCAAATCCGTCGAAAATTGCGGCCGTGCATTCGTTACACACACACACACATACACACACACACACATCCTGCCTTTTATCTATCTATCTATCTATCTATCTATCTATCTATATATATATATATATATATATATATATATATATATGTATATATATAATGATTTTCAGTTTTACAAGCAACATTATAGCATAAGGCTTTCTAAATTTCAAGGCTTTCAAGGGAATCTTCACCTGCTTCTTTCCAACCTTTAAATTTGACATTTTTTTATGGAAAGACCATGTCGACTTGATTTCAATGAGAGTTTAATGAAAATTACAGGTGAATCTGGGATACATCTCGATTTCGACGGTCAAATACGATGAGTAGTGGTGGTGGTAAGGCGTGGGAGTTGGTGAAGGGTCCGATCAAAGCCGAAGTCAGTAACTTGGGATGGCTAATACACGTTATATATATTTATTAAATATATGCATATATACACACACATACAATTAACATAGATTCGTCCTGGGTATGACGATAAACTACATTCGGCAGCAAGGCCTCTGAACGGGAGGCTTTGAGGAACGTAGAATCACCTCTCAATTGCTGTTGTTCCTAGGTCGAACCTGCTCCACCATGGTAGCATCTGTTAGGGTCCCAGCTAGTGACAAATAATAAACCCCCAAACAGGGATCAAAACATGAAAATATAAAAATACATTACAAAAAAAAAAAAAAAATAGAAGCAATACTTTTTCATAGTAAAAAAAAAAAAATTACCAAAAATACATTTTTGGAAAAAAATTAGCAAAGCTCACAACAAAAAAAAGAAAAATATTCGGCATTAAATGACCCATAAGGTGTTGATATGCCGTTAAACGAACAAAAAGTAAATATACATATATACGCACCCATAACTTTATATATAAAACATAAATACATATATGATAATTACATGTATAAATTAACATACCTAAAAATACATATATCCAAACAGAAATACCTATATGAATACTAGTAACTATATATATATATATATATATATATATATATATATATATATATATATATATATATATATATATATAAGTGAACGTTGTCAAGGGCGACAAGCTGTTTTATGCTGGACGCAATCGTCAAGCCGGCCTGACGATTGCGTCCAGCATGAAACAACCTGTACCCTGAGTGTTGACTTCAATGTTTTATACTTATATTTACACACGCTCTATCTCTGATATTGAGCAATTTATCCCATAGATATAACACACCTTAAAACTATATTTCTTCATATATATACATATAGAATGACAAAGAACTGATAGAATCTGTTATTTGGAACAGTTCTTTGTCATTCTATATGACAAAGAACTGTTCCAAATAACAGAAACCACATCACCTAAAGACTTTTAATAGCAGCAACAACTAAAATGAATAGCCCTTCTAAGCCGAATGATATAATCAAGATGATGACATTCGACACTACTTCAAAATATGGTTAGGAAGGAAACACCCATTATTACTAGAAAGAGCGATAATACCTACTAGGATAAGAAACCTGTTTTCCTGAAATATTGTTTTAAGAAAAGAGTTCATGAATTTCAAACGCCAGTAGCACTGTCTGTTCGGTCAATAATGTCAAATGTTTCCTTATAAGGAAACGGTTAATGTTAACATTACCATTAGAGATGAGGAAAACAGATATTACGTTTGGTATTTACTCTTACCTCTCATGGTGAGGGAATATGACACAAAGCCGTTTTAAACTGGTTTAAAGTGGGCTGCCTAAGCGGATTCAAATGGGCTAAACGTAGAAATTGTCTCATAATCACAACCAACGTCGCACTAGGAATCCCCGGGATCATGTATCCCTCATTTATATATATATATATATATATATATATATATATATATATATATATATATATTTTGTACTTTGTCCGGAGACAGAAACACAATTGAGCGATACGACACTTTGATCCCAGCCTGATAGCAAGGGTGTGAAAAAAAAAACGTAACTCAAGTAGCACACTTCTGCATGGTCAGTGAATGTCGAGAGTTTCCTTATAAAGAAACAGCTAATATTAGCATATCTATCTATCTATCTATCTATCTATCTATCTATCTATTGATCGCAGTCTATTCATATCTATCTATCTATCTATCTATCTATCTATCTATCTATCTATCTATCTATCTATTGATCGCAGTCTATTCATATCTATCTATCTATCTATCTATCTATCTATCTATCTATTGATCGCAGTCTATTCATATCTATCTATCTATCTATCTATCTATTGATCGCAGTCTATCATATCTATCTATCTATCTATCTATCTATCTATCTATCTATCTATCTATCTATCGCAGTCTATTCAATATCTATCTATCTATCTATCTATCTATCTATCTATCTATCTATCTATCTATTGATCGCAGTCTATTCATATCTATCTATCTATAAAGAGAGAGAAAGAGAGAAAGAGAGAGCTGCATTAAGGGAGGGTTTATGTTAAATGTCGACCTAAACTGTAAATAAATTGTTCTTACTTTGGTGATGTATAGATTTGCAACCTTGGAAGATTACACTTGGTTCCAGATGACAATGTGCCGTATTGTCTTCGAGGAGTTCGGCCAGGAATATTCCAAAATGATAGAAGCAACCAACCAATATTTTGTTGACTTCCTCAGGTACTCTGTATCACTCCCCCATCAACACCACATCCTCAGCTAGTCCTATCACATTATCACCATCGTTGCACTGTTTTGCTTGGCCATGTTTTTCATTGCCATTTTTCCACGCGAATACCACAGATTTGTTTTGCATAATTGTTTTATCGTTCAGTTTGTCCTTTTTTTTGTGGATGTCGTATGACCTTCGAAAGAAGTCTTTCGGTAAGTAATGGCTGATTTTCGGAGAGAGAATTAAAAACTGATTCAGGTGGAATCAAAATTAAATTCATTCGTGAAGAACGACCTGGTTTTAATAGCATGGAACAGCTCCCCCCCAATCCTCAGCTAACATTTGACATTTGAGTGAAGACGCGGATAGTAGAGACGAAGCGCTGAGTTTAACTGCCGCTTGATTCTCTTTTATACACTTCACTCTAACCACCTTGAAAGAAGCAATAATCCATTTCCCCTAGCTATGGATTAAATAGCAGAATAGACTGAGCACGTTCACTCTGCTCATTGGCCATTTGAAATGGTATGGATCCAGGTATGGATTAAGTATCAGGGCAAGCTGGATTCGTTCACTTTACTTTGTTTTCCTTTGAAAAAAAAAATGAATCAATTTTCCACCACTTATGGGTTAAATAGTAGAAAAGACTGGATTCGTTCACTTTGTTCATGTCCACTTTTAAAAAAGTACCTTTTTCTTCCTCCTATGGGTTAAATAGCAGGGCTAACTGTAACACCCTTAAAGAGGCGTGTTAAATAGCTGTAAAAACGGGCTCATTTGATTAGCTATAAAACCTTTTTTTAATATATGAATCCACATTACTCCAGCTATAGGTTAAATAGTAGAACAGACTGGATTCGTTTACTTTGCTCTAACAACCTTTAAAAAGGGTCTGTCATCACCATGCTCAAGCTATGGGTTAAACAACAGAGCAGACTAGGTTAGTTTACGCTCCTCTAATACCTTCTGATAAGTTATGACTCTAACTTCTAGCTATGGGTAAAGTCACAAATCAGAAAGGCTTATTTACTTTGTTCCAATGTCCGTTGAAATGGCTCTATCCCTGCTATGGGTTAAATATCAGAAAAGCTTGACAACATTCACTTTCACCTTCGAAAATGTACGAATTCATTTTGCTTCGATTATTATTAATAATAATATAGTCCTTGGATATGAAGTTAAAAAATTGCCGTAAGAAACGAAAATATTTTTGATATAACCTAACTATTTAAATATTTAAATATTTATTCTTGATCCTAAGTATTCAAATATACTACACAATGGGGTAAGAATTAGAGAGACTATTACAACTGAGCAGTGTGTTCGATCCTCACTGGAAGCATCATACATTAAGTAACCCACCAAGAAATGTCAACCAAAAAAATGAACGAAACTTATTCCAGGTTACTAATTGCTCACTAAGATCTCAAGAAAGTTGGGATTTCAATGTTGATATGCGTTCTTTTTTTCTTATAATTATATTTGCGTTCCAGAATTTTTTTTTTGCACGGGAGCATTTAGTTTCACGGGTTTTATTTTTTAATTGCTAATTGAATTATCTTATTGTCAAATGAATTTATTTTTTTTATATCTGAACGTGTTTTTATTTCCTCTCAGAGAATTTACCATGACTTTCCGAACAATCTCCCATACCTGACCGTAAATCAACAGATACCTAAGCGTTCTTTATTCCTCAATCTGAAAAGTTCTGCAAGATGTTAAATATTATGTTGTCGCACATGAAATGACGCACTTTATAGCAAATGAATAAAACGCTTCTGAAATGTCAAATAATTAATTTAGTTGAAATAGGCACCATATAGATTAATGACTGTTCTCAAACGTACCTCTAAATTCTTGATCCCATCTTTAAAATAATTGTCGTTCTTTGATGTGAACAACAGTTCAAATACTTCGTTATCTCTTCATTACTGGAGGGTGTTTTATTGTGCATGAAAAGCTGAAATAAGTGATAATCAGTAGGAAAGGCATCAAGTAAATCTGGAGGCTGAGGTAACATATCATAATTTAGGCTACAGAGTTTATTGAAAAGCGTGCAATCGTCCGTTGTCGTGCAACAAAATTGGACCAGCCCTATACTGATGTCTAGAATGTTTCCTTTTCAATTTTTCGTGCTTACAATCAGTTTCTTCACAATACGTGGTTGTTATCATCATTTTCATTTCAGGCAAGAATGAAAAATAAATAACCCCTTTGAAAGACCACCATACCGTAACCATTAACTTTTTAGAGTGCACTGGATGTTTAGGGTATTGTATTCATGATTCACAGGCATGTGACCACTGACCGAATATTTTACTGTTGTCAAAGAGTATCCATTTCTCATCGCATATAATAATTCGATGCAAAAATGGTTCTTTTTTCCCAGTTTGTACTCATAAAGTAAGATTACTTGACATTGTTTCCTTGTATCCATTTTCATTGGACTTATGAGTAACAATATATTGAAAGAAAAATTATCTGGAAAGCAATGAGTCATGAATAAGTCAAGATTTTTTTACATAATATGAAGGTTACGTCGTTAGATTACCGGATCCACAACCAACCAAAAATGCGTCATTTCATGCGTGACAATCTAAAACATAAAATTTGATCAAATGTTTGTGCTAAATGTTCTGGTAGCGTAACTGTCAGCACGGAAAAGAAAATCAGCGAGACGAGTTCAAATTTCAAGTGTTGCCTTCAATTTTATACTATAAATAACATTGCGAAAGGCATGACACCATCTCTTTTAGACATAGCTATGGATAAATAGCGTAGACGTGAGTGGCATACACTCTCAGGGGACGAGTAAGCTGAATTCAAGATCGCGGAGAATGACATGTGAAAGCACGGTATTAACGTTTCCAGGAAATCATAACAATTCACAAATAAAAAAAAACAAAAACAGAATCTGTGGAGAGTCATGATCGCCTACGTCCTGGAATGACATGGTACATGAAATAATAATAATAATAATAATAATAATAATAATTCACAGAAACAAAATGACAGCCCTGTGATAATGCAATGTCCATTAATGACATAAAAAAACGACGTCGGCCATCGAGTTTTTCTTTTAAATTTAGCGCTAAAGATTGTTTTCCCAAGGTTAAAGAGCTGATACTTACCGACCTATAATTGGGTAAAATGGGAGCGGATTCATGACTTTACCCCATTCAAAGTGAAAGCAACAGCATCGGATGGAATTTGAACTGTCTGCTGATTCCATTTTTCACGTCGCTAATCTTTATGTCATCCAAACATTCTCCCTTTAAGTTGAGATAACTGACTTCGTTTCTTAATTTTAAACAAATCTGAACTTGACAACCATTGATATTATTCATTTTTATAATTAATTTACTTCCATCTTAAATATAATTTACTTTTTAATTCAACTTAAGAGGGGTTTTAATTTACAATCCTTAACATTCGTCTTTTTTCAGGCGGTAAAAACAGTTGATCCGATTAATCAATTCCGTAAATTCGAATCTGACTGGAAATTTAACATTTATCGTGTAACTTTGAATCTTACGAGAGATTTAATCTTTATTGGATAAGCCCAAAACTTACCAGAAATTTAACTTTTATTTGATAAGCTAGAATCTCTCCAGAAATGTAATTTCTTAAGTTCGAATCTTACTTAAAGTTTGACATTTATTGCACTGTGTACAATAGAATTCTGGTCCGAATAAAATTGCAACTACCAATTCATATAAAAGGAAATTACTTGTTAAAATTGTGTTTACATCAGCCATACCTATTAGTTTATCCTATTCTTCCCCGATTGCAAGTATTAACAGGACCATATTGTGTCTCGGGCAATTAAAATGAGGATCAGGTAATTATCCCGTTCAATACCTTTGCTTTTCAATTTTTTAAGGTCGGAAACACTAGAATCAAGCAGATGCAGAAGATTAAATATCTGGGAAGCGTCTTGATGAGGACGGTAAGATTGATAGAGGACACTGAGATCCGTAGATGTATTGGGATGGCCAAGGACACATTCCAAAAGCTGGGCAGAGTACAGCGAGATAGGAGGATTTCTTTGGTAACAAAGAAAAGAATACTGAGCTGTTATGTGACATTTGTCCTTCTTTACGGCAGCGAATGTTGGACGATTTCCTCAAAGATGAAGAAGATACTCAAGGTGACAGAGATGTGGTTCTACAGAAGGATGCTAAGGATATCATGGACTGAGCGTGTGAGCAACGATGAGGTCTTAGAGAGGTTGCAAACAAGGAGGAGGCTTATACTTAATATCAGGAAGAGGCAGCTGAAGTTTCTGGGACACATAATGGCACATCTGATACTCACAGGTTGAATAATGACGAATAATGACATATCTGGTATTCACGGGTCGAATAGAGGGAAAGAGAGACAAGCGGGACATTCCTGGCAAGTAGATGGTAGAACGGGGTCTGGGGAAGGAAGCAGAAGGAAGGAACTTGTTGAAAGCTGAAAGGGATAGAAAGAGGTGGAGAACCATGATCGCCTACGTCCTGAATGGACAAGGCATATAAAAAGAAAAAGAAAGAACTTAACTAGTTAGTGTGATCCCTCGGGGGAGACGCTCCGTGTATCTCTGTTTATGAGCGAGAAACAGAAAAGTATCATATTTGGTTGTTAGTATTTTTTATGTTTGAAGGCTGAATCGGCCAAGCGAACTTTGGAGTTAGATCTATATACGTGGGGGCGTCCTCAATTAAAGACCGCCTTGAGCGGACTCGCTTACCCAACCTGAAGATAT